AGAGTCCTCACTTCCTGCCGCTAGCAGCTCATCCCGACCGCTCTGGTTTCCCTTGGCAACGGGTCAGCAGCCAATCAGGGTGTTGGAGTGTCCCGCCCGCAGCTGTGATGCAGATGAAGTCTTTTCCTTCCGAAGCGGCCGTCCATCACCAACTTCCTGTAATAGATGTGAGATGTGACATCACAAGCTGAGAGGCCATCTGCACTCCACGGGTTCCTGGGCTATTTCTGTCATTGCTCAGAGCATGCGTTCGCGCTGGCGCCAGTTCTGTTGATCAAGGGGTAACACAAAACTTTCTCAAGGTCAAAATGAAGATGTCAGGGATACATGAGGGATGGTGATCTCTCAGTTGCTGGAGTGGCTGGTGTAGGATAACCTCCTGGAGAGCACTCTGGGTTAAAACAGATCTCTATTGGATTGTAACAGTCATTGTGTATGGAGGACAAGTATGTTGTACTGCATCATGTCTTCAGAAGAATCCTCAAAATTATAGCGCTCACTTCAGAGGATGGTCAACATGACATAAGGCTAGAATTAAGATACTGCATGTTACCTTTCTAACATAACTAGAGAAGAAGGTTATTTTAACTATAGATGCATAGCAGGTTATGAGCCTAAAATAGTTAATGGCATGATGCAGAGGTTGTAGCCCCAGACAGATGGGGTGTAAATACAAGAGCTGGAGCCGTGCGGAGAGTGCCCATCAACCTGCTGAGTGACAAATGGAGGCCCACAGAGACACCACCTTTTCAGGCTAAGGTGACAGAGTAGCAACAGTGGGGTATGGAAGGGGGATGAGGAAGGTGCTAGCACTCAAAGCCAAAATGGGGCAAATGGGAGGCACCCTACATGCCTTCTCTGTTAATCTAGGGCATGTTAGCTTCCATACAGTGTGTGTGGTGTGTGTGTGTTCATGCGTGTGTTCACTGAAAAGACACAAAGGCATGGACCTCTACCCAGACACTCCATTCAGCCCAAGGATGGATTGTTTATGAGTTAACAGCTTTGGATAATAGGATTTCACCTATAGGGCCTAGGATTTATGTTTCCTAGGTAATTTCTGAGCGTTGAAAGGAATTGGAAAAATACAAATAAAAAACCACTGAATCACTTTCTTTATATATTTTTTCACGGGCACTTGTTTCAATCACAGAGGTGTGACAGATAGACAGGTCATACCTGAACATCAACAAGGAAATGACAAGAGGTGAACGATTATGTCTCTGTGTCATTTAATCATTTTGGTCTGTCTGGTAAAGAATACGTTCATAACAGCAAAGCAATATGGATTATTGGTTGTTGTCACTCATTCTTTTCTTGTTCTGGCCCTATGAATTATAATCATACATGAGGGAATTTTTTTCTCTCATTGCTTTCCCTATTGGCTTAACAGTATTTATGTGTACTGATTCATCCAGATTGACCACAATTTTGCTGTTGATGTTGTCTACATTTTGCCCTAATCTAAATCCTCTTGTTATTATCTGTGTTTGCGATCTAATGTAGCTCGGCGTCATGGCAACAGCATGCAGAGTGGCCACACAGTTTTATGATCAAGTGTCTCAAGTTATTGATGCCCTCCATAATATGGTGGGGGCTGGGGGCTAGACTTACGAATGTTTAAAAAGCCTAGGCAGTAAGTAATTGCCACTGGGATGCCTTCCACCTTCGCGTTTTTGGCTGATGCAGTTGATTTACCCTCACTTAGTGCGGAACACAGTGTTTTGTACCCTGGTAATTTATACGCCACATTTCTCTACTGGTTATTGCTTAGTTATTTACTGCAAATGGTTCTATTTGTTCTGTGAGGGAAAAACTAGGGCTTTATTTATTTATTTTTTCAATTAATAGTAGAGTGTCGGAGGCAGGATTTAGAGGCTTTGTGAGATGAAACAGTGTAACTCCAGTAAAGACCTCCCAGCCAGGGAGAAATGGCCTTGTTGTTGACTATACTAAAGGCTAACAGCGCCATATGTTCATGTTATAGGAAAGAGCATTAACACAGTCCCCTCAGACATGAAGCTGGGAAGAAATGTTGCCCGCACCTTCCTCGACTACTACAGGCACAACAACTTCATTGATGACAAACCACAAATCCCAAATCACATCAACAGGTAGTGTTTCTAATGACACATTTCTATAACTTGTCCAGTTTACATCCTATTTGTTTAACTTGATAATATTCACTCATGTTTGTGTTTTTGTGTCCTCAGTATGGAGGTATTGTCCCAGGGTCGACAGGGGAATGGAAATTGGAACGGGAGGACCTCGGGGGGTGAGAGAGGAGCAGAGAGGAAGAACCAGAGTATCATAGGAGAGTACTAGTCACCTGGCAATAACATACTGGAGAGACCAGTCCAGTCTGACCACTGTATAGGGATCCTGACTCACAGGCCTACACTATCTCCACACAGCCCTCATGAAAATTAGATGCACCAGCCCAAGATAAAGGATGCAATTTCACAAACGGATTACTTTTGGATAGCATGTTAATTGGAGGGTATTTACCCATGTGACTTCATTAGAGCAAGTTGCTCTGACTTTATATGAAATGTATGGGATGGATCAAGCTGACACATGTATATCTCATGTTCCATTTGAGGCCTTCATACGTCATTCATATATTTTACCACAACGTGCTTTTTCCATTTTAGGTATTGTTTTTTATTAAGATATATTCATTCATGCATGTCATTGAAAATAAGTGCATGTGTTTTCAGTTATACATAACTTATTTTGTGTTTATCTTGCCTCTCTCTATTCTACATTACTTGGAGGGGTTTAATGGGAGGGGTAACCCATTTTTGTTTAGTCATGACATCAGTATCTAAGTATTCTGTTGTTAAAACCTATGAAATTTAACACACATTTGTACGTTTTTCAAATTGATGTTCAGTCATTGTCAGTGCATTAGTTTACACCGGTGTTTGCGATTAAAGGAAACAGACTTAGGGTCAATTTGATTTCAACTGAAGTGATTTCATGGATTATAGTATAGATTTGAAATCCCTATAGAAAATTATGGGTATCTCTCAAGTATGAACTTGCCCTGAATTGACTGATATCCATTAATTTCCCTATCTTACTGCAATGTAAACATCTATTCAACTTATCTGTTTAGAGCACTGAGTGCTTTTTCACTGCATTATGTAAAACACGATCCATGGGATTTGCTCAACACAAAGGCATAAGTAGGAGAGTGAGAGAGAATGGTACATTAGTCAAGTGTGGCGTGAAGAACAACATGTATTTTTCAGACCAGTCATTTGGAATAAGTGAGGCAATCTGTCAGCATAACAGCATACACAAATGACTTTTACATGGTTGACGAGAAGATGGAGAGGCTGAATGAGAATGACGAAAGACATTTGTCTTTTGATGCTTTCACTGAATATGTGTCAGACCTGGACCTGTCCAACACTAAAGTGTATGTTAGCGCAACTCTCTCTCTCTCTCTCTCTCTCTCTCTCTCTCTCTCGCTCTCTCTCTCTCGCTCTCTCTCTCTCTCTCTCTCTCACTCTCTCACTCTCTCACTCACTCACTCACTCACTCACTCTCATAAACACACACAATCTGCATACACACACACAAGAAAATGCTTCCTTCTATTCAAAGTGCATGGTCCCCACTGTGCCGCTATCATTTTAAGCTTTATCTAGAGCCATTATTCTCTATTGCGTTCTCCATGAGACTGGGCACATTACTTTCTAATTAATTGTACACAGCTATGCATGTGAGAAAGCGAGAATTGTTAATACATTTTCTCTTCAATAGTCAAGGAAATTATATTTCATATTAGCCTCCCTTACATTTGTTATGCATTATTTAGCCCCTTACCAACTCCCAGTGGCTCTTGTTTATCTAAGAGGATGGTTAATTGCAGCTGCAGGTAGCCTAGCGGTTAAGAGCAGTGGGTCAGTATCCGAAAGGTCGCTGGTTCGAATCCCCTAGCCAACTAGGTGAATATCTGTTGATGTGCCCTTGAGGAAGGCACTTAACCCTAGTTGCTCTGGATAAGAGCATCTGCCAAATTACTAAAATGTAAAAGCACAGTAAACAAGTCTGTTTAGAGCCCTGCTGTGGTCAGTGTCACCCTGTATATCACAAAGCCAGTAGAGGTTGGTGTGTATATAACTACTCATCAAAGATTGATCATTCATGTGGGGTCCAAGACTGGAAGTTTGTTTTTCCAAATACTTCTATCCAAGCATTACTAAAATAAATGCGTGGCATGGTCTAAATTCCACTTATTTGATCGCTCTGCGGCGCTCATCATTTATCAGGACATCATAACTATTGATTCTCAATCTGCCCAATAAATGGTTTTGTTGGATCCACTGAACACAGTCTACAAAATGAGGATTTGCCTGAATTCCAGTTTTATTTTCCCCCAAGAGTCACATGACCACCAATATCTCTGCTTTGCTAGAGTCAGCGTAGTGCAGAAGGTGTCGTATGCTGAGAATTGAGGAGGATGTGTCAAGGGTGAGGGATCCTGTGAGTAGTAGATCTGTGCCAGCACAGAGGGATAGGCTAACGAGTGATATATGCTTCAGTATGGTTGGCTTCTTAGCGTTCATAGCAATGGTTATCAACTGTGCCACAGAAATGGAACGTAAATCACAGAAAATAGATGTTGTGGTGGCAGCTTCAGAGAAGTATTTGGGTATACGAGACGAGATTTGACTTTAGAATAGTTACAGGGTGGTTTGAGTGGTGGTGTCCCGTCCTCCCAGGCCGTTGGCATGGTGCAGGAGCAGATAAGGTGAACGTAGTGGAATGGGGTAGTGGGCTTTTAATGAGTGTAGGGTTAGTTGGAAGGGTGTTTTTTTGTATATATATATATATTTGTTTTACTTTTCCCATTTTGTATCACAAAGTATAATGGATGTATATTATAATCCAGTTGGGGGCAGTAATGCAACATATTGGATGCCAACCGCCTTTAACTGCCAAAGAAGAAGAAGAAGAAGAAGAAGCAGCCCATTATCTCTGCTCTCCCTGTTGGTGTTTGGCAGCTATGACAACGAAGTTTGAAAATGGGTGGGTTGACACCTCAAAAAAAGAAGCTTTCCTCCTCCAAAATGTCTAAGAAAGCTCTGAAATGCACCGTGCAAATTGAAATCAAAGCTGTAAGTACAACCTGATATGTTATTTTCCCTCACTACGTTTTTACTTGATCCATAACGCCAATAATATATTAGCAAATGAGCTAATCTTTGCTAGCAAACGTTAGCTTGCTATTCATCTTCCAATCATCAATATACACACACTAGTGTCTAGAACTACTGCAGCCAACTGCTCTCACTGTGAGTAAAAGTAAACTCCCAAGCAAAATAGCTAGATCAATAACGTTAGGCTTGCCAGCCCATTGGGTTTGTCTTTTAACGTTAGCTAATAATAGCTACTAGTTAGCAACTTGTTGCACAAAGCAAACAATTGCTATCTAGCCCAGTAGCTAGCTACAATTGATTTGTTTGATTACAGATTACTTGTCCAGGGGTTGTGTTACCCAATCAGGAAGACATATACCTGAGTGTCTGCGTCATGGGACAGTTCAAGAAGACTCTCTGCCTGCCGCCTGTATTCCCTCTTCTATTCCATGAGAAGATGGTCTTTGTGAAGGTAAGAAGGATAGAAAACACACACTATACCCCGACCCACAACATTGCTTACAGCAACACAAAACAACCGTATTGTCACCTGCAAACTTGCTTTCGTATGTTCTTTATCTCCATCTGAAGACGTTCACAGGAGCTGCTGACCCAGGTCACATTGTGGACATCCTAGAAGGTAGTCATTTCTCATTTTGAGCCTTTCTGAGATCTCATTTCATAACATAAAAATCTTATGTCTCTGTTATCTTCCTATAGCTGACACAACATCCTTTGAACTGATTCAGCTTGTGCCTCCAGGTATGACTTTCCAGAAATGTTTTTAAAATGTCTAACAGTTCATGGTTTTTAAGCATGGTAGGGACATGGATTTCATAATTTCTAAAAGTAATCTGTTTACAAATCATCTCTTGACTTGTTTTTTTCACACTACCTACACTGAGTATACAAAACATTAAGAACACCTGCTGAATGCTTTCGAAACCTTGTAGAGTCCATGCCCTAACGAATTGAGTCAGTTCTGAGGGCTAAAGGGGTGCAACTCAATATTAGGAAAGTGTTCCTAATGTTTGATATACTCAGTGTATATTATCTGTTGTTAATGAGCATGGCTATACAGTAGATAGAACAATGAACTCATGAAACAAATACCAAAAACTACACTGAACAAAATTATAAATGCAACATGTAAAGTGCTGGTCCCATGTTTCATGAGCTGAAATAAAAGATCCCAGAAATGTTCCATATGCACAAAAAGCTTATTTCTCTCATTTTGTGCACAAAATTGTTTACATCCCTGTTAGTGAGCATTTGATCCTTTGTCAAGATAATCCAACCATCTGACAGGTGTGGCATATCAAGAAGCTGATTAAACAGCATGATCATTACACAAGTGCACCTTGTGTTGGGGACAATAAAAGGCCACTCTAAAATGTGCAATTTGGTCACACAACACAATGCCACAGATGTGTCAAGTTTTGAGGGAGTGTGCAATAGGCATACTGACTGCAGGAATGTCCACCAGAGCTGTTTCCAGAGAATTGCATGTTAATTTCTCTACCATAAGCTGCCTCCAACGTCGTTTTGTAGAATTTGGCAGTATATCCAATCGGCCTCACAACCGCAGACCACGTGTAACCACGCCAGCCCTCCACATCCGGCTTCTTCACCTGCGGGATCGTCTGAGATTGGGTGTGTGCTCATTCTGATTGGCTGGGCCTGGTTCCCCAGTGGGTGGGCCTATGCCCACCCATGGCTGTGCCCCTGCCCGGTCATGTGAAATCCATAGATTAGGGGCTAATTTATTTATTTCAATTGACTGATTTCCTTATATGAACTGTAACTTTTTGAAATTGTTGCGTTTATATGCTTGTTCAGTATATCTTTTGGTATTTGTTTCATTAGTCCATTGTTGATATAGTCCCAAAATGTTTTGCATGTCAGCATATCTTGAAAATGTGATTGCTGACATGCAAAACATTTTGGGACTATATCAACAATGGACTAATGAAACAAATACCAAAATATAGTTTTTGGGTGGTTTTACTTTAAGCTATATATTGCTCTGTGGTTTTAGAGGGGGATATTTTGGCCACTATTGAAGAGAACACCAGAGAATTCCTCTATCCAGGCCCCAAGCTGACGCCTAGAGCCGGTGGTCCCGAGAGAGAGATGCTGATGAGGAGATCTATCTGTTTCCCTGTGGGTGCACCACCTCCTCCACAGGCTTTGTCATATGTTAAACATCTCCAAAGCCAATTTCCTTCCATTTTGTTTTCTTGAGAATACAATGATTGTAGATTTTGTGTTTGCAAATTGATCTTGCAAGCGGTGTGTTATCTGAAGTCACTCTGGTTGGCTTTCCATCTCCTTGTTAAAGGCTTTTGTTTTCTACTGTCCCCTCAGGGAATCTCTCCTAAAGTGGAGTTTGCAACCATGTCTGTCATTGAGGAATGTGATGGGAAAGATAGCCAGCCTCAGCCTGCCTCCCCTGTAAGTGTGTGTCCTCTCCTCACCGCCCTCATCACACCAATGTTCCCGTGTTCATAATGAATTGTTCAGCTGTGAGAGATTTGAATGATACCCAGACAGCCATAGTTAAAAGGAAGGAGAAGAGGGTTTCTCATTGCCACACAAGACAGTGATCTAAATGGTTATTTGATTGTAAAGCATGTCTTATAGCACATTTCCCTTTATCTTTGCTCTTGTGTACTTTTGAATTGATTCTCCCACTTCACTATAGGCTTACTTAACGGTGGGAGTACTACCTAACATTTTGTGTAGTCAGTTTAGGTTTGCAGCCTGTATTGGATTTTATTGTACGGTAGGCTCCACATATAGTGAGCTGAACATGTATAATCTTAGGCTGTATCAATTATCCTTACACTTGTCAAGACTCTTGTCTTAGAGACAGTCAAGATATATGTAAATTGCTTTACATGTTATCATTCAGATTTTTATGTCCTTGATAAAACACGTTGTTGAAAAATACAAAATCAGGCTGATATAATGCTACTATATCAACATTGGTACCTTCAACAGTTAACATTTATTTAATTTATTTCCTTCCTGTTCAAAATGAGGCAGAGGTTGATCGTGCCACATATATAAGAGCTCAGTAATCCCCCTAGTTTGACATTGACTAATTATTTCTGGACTTCTACAGAATGGCATTGTCTATCATTCTAGTCATTTTCCACCATATACCTATTTTGTTGCCATGGCTACTGACATCCCTGTAGTTTAGCAGCACATTTAAGGGTATCCTCTCCTTGTGAATGTAATTATAGAGAAGCAGATCAGTGGAATTGATATCCAGGCCCAGTTCCTGGTGTCTTTATGTGCTTTGTTTAGAGGAAGAGCCAGTCAGTCAGTGTTCATATCCCCTGTTCTCACCTGGCTTCTCCTCACTGTGTCCTTTGTATTTAAAGGGCAACTTGTGCTCAGTTGCATAACATTTCCATTTACTTTTCCAAACGGAAGATTTGCAGCTCCTTTCAGGATTTGTTTCATAACGGGTGCTATCAATTTTGATAGTGTAATCCGCTCTGAAGGCTATGCTTTAAAGGGGTATTTGGCAGACAGACAGCAGGAGAGCGAGAGCAAGGTAGTCATCCATTCTCCCTGAACTTAAAAGCCCCTGCAGTCAGACCAAAAAAACAAACCTTAGGCCTTTGAGTGTTGTGAAATGTAGGACCATTCTCCAGGTGCTGTTACCAGAGCCATTTATTTTAATAAGCATTATTGACAAAATGGCAGGATTTGGATGGGTGTAGGTATTCTGTCGTGACCCCCAAGGAGATGGGAATCAGAGTGAAGTGATAGGGAGAAGCATCATTGATGCTGCCTTTAGCCTTTCTTCATATGATACTAATGGATACTCAGGATTCTCATTACCCTGGCAGGTTGAGCAATGCACTGAGGCTCCTCTTTTCCACTTTTATAATAGGAACCCTTTAAAATGTCCTGCCCTGTAATGGAGAATTCAGTCATTATTTTCTCCCTCTGTCTCTTGTATCTAGTCTCTAAGACAGCTGTCTTGTCTATTTCCACTGTTGTCACTCCTTTTTTGTCTGTGTTTGTGTGCATGTCACTCTTTGTGAAGTCTCATGGTGTGGACTTGACATGGCATTCTTTTTAAATGGGTTTTCTTCGACATGATTTGCATTCGTTTGAATGGGTCTCGTTTCTTGTTTTATAAGCTACTTGTGGCTCAGGCTTTGTTGTTTCAAGGACACCCTGCTTTATCACCCGTTACCAATACCACCCCACTATTCACATCAGACAAGCACCACTCATGTTGGAAAATTGCCCTTCTGTGTTTACACCAAAAAAAGAGAAAATAATAGAGAAAAAACAACTTAGTTTAATTTCATTAAATCGGTCCACTCCAAATGGCAATCTCAATCAGGATTTATTTATTCAATTTCCTAAAAATGAGTTAATATGCCAGGATGTCCCAATTAGCATTTAAATTATCTTTATTTTACAACCATGTAATGCTATTATTAGTCTGAAGTTGGCCATCAAATGCAATTAACATTTTTAAACGTATTTATCTGGGCATCGCCCGCAGGAACTAAGATATTGCTTCTCAGAATTATGTTAGTGACCATTAGAATTATTGAAGTCATTTTGCAACCAAGGTGATATCCCAGCACAGCGGTGTTATTTACGTTGCATAGTTTTAATGGGGGGGAGGGGGCAGGCAGGCAGACTGAGCATCTACCGAGCAATAGGGCAGACTGAACATCTACCACCCCACTATCAGATTAGGGGTGGGGACAATTTATGCTTTTTGTCCCCCCACTTTTTATCTGAAATCACCATCACCCACTGATTAACTTGACATTTTTGCAGATTAAAAATGTTTTGAGCTAGTACTTTGTCAAGATTTATCTTTAGAAAGTAGCATGGCATTCAATATAATGCAGGTTTTTTTTTTTTTCCTGTCTCAAAAGTGAATGGTTTGAAATGTTAAGGAGAGCTTCTCCCACTCTGACCAATGAATGCGACCATGCGTAGCAAAAATGATTGCTTTCCTTTATGAATCAAATCAAATCAAATCAAATTTTATTGGTCACATGCGCCGAATACAACAGGTGCAGACATTACAGTGAAATGCTTACTTACAGCCCTTAACCAACAGTGCATTTATTTTAAACAAAAAAGTAAGAATAAAACAACAACAAAAAAGTGTTGAGAAAAAAAGAGCAGAAGTAAAAATAAAGTGACAGTAGGGAGGCTATATATACAATAGAATAAAGTGACAGTAGGGAGGCTATATATACAGGGGGGTACCGTTGCATAGTCAATGTGCGGGGGCACCGGCTAGTTGAGGTAGTTGAGGTAATATGTACATGTGGGTAGAGTTAAAGTGACTATGCATATGAAATTACCCTGTTCATGTAAAAATGACCAAATACACTGACTGTTTAAAGCAAAACAACCAAAACTATTTCTTATGGTGAACCTGACAAATCGAAATAAAATCTGAATGATTGAAACCCCCAATCAGCAGTTGGATGTTAGTTGCGTCCACTCCGGTAGGCTAAAACACAATTTTCTACAGAGCATTTGGTAACAATGACCCAGCAAATTACGTTGGTTGTCACTCAACTACTAAAGCCTATGATTTGACATTGCGAAAGCCATTTTAAAAGCATCTGAATGTGCCGTGCAGATGTACAAATAGCCAATTAGAACAGGGATAGGCCTACCTCTCGTTGGCGCGAGCAGCTGTCTCCAACACTGTGGTCCTCTGTAGCTAAATTGGTAGAGCATGGCGCTTGTAACGCCAGGGTAGTGGGTTCGATCCCCGGGACCACCCATATGTAAAAATGTATGCGCACATGACTGTAAGTCGCTTTGGATAAAAGCGTCTGCTAAATGGCATTATTATTATTATTATTACTGTGCGCACAGTTGTTAACCAGTTAAATGTAATCTACGTAATCCCCAAAAGTAATTATTTATCATTAGAGGGCCATAAACAATCATTAGTAATGCTGCATACTCAAAGGTTAAAATCTCACCTTTCAGGTAAAGATAAGTTATAAATTGGTGGTGTAGTCAGTTTTGAGGACACAGCCTCAAGTACACAGTACAAATATGATAAAAATATGAAATATTTTATGTATTTCCTATTCAACAAAACTGTATGAATAAGGCTTGAAATGACTTATATGCTTTCTACATATAGCATAATCAAATTATAAAATGACTAACTACAATATTTAACCTTCCTTATAACTGTAAAATACATATTTCTAAAGGTCTCTCTTGATCAAAACGTCTGCCCCCATCGTTGTGAATGTCTCACAGAGCGCTAGCTTGGCTTCCTGAACTCGTTAGGAACTCGCCTTTCATCTCATATTAATCTATGACAAACAGAAAGTGTTTTTTTGTTTAAAATCTATGAATTATTTTAGATGAATGGCTATAAATTGTGTCCCTATACCGGGATAGTTGCTGCTCAATATGCGATATGTGACAAGAAGGGCGTTGTAAACAACAGCCAACTTTCCGGGACATAGACATGTCATATATGGGCAGAAAGCCTAAATTCTTGTTAATCTAACTGCAGTGTCCCGGTATAACTGCAGTGTCCTGCTATTACAGCAAGAAAATACCATGCTATTGTTTGAGGATAGTGCACAACAACAAAACACTTTTCACAGCAACTGGTTTGGTACATTCACCTCTGAAGGTAAATAATGTACTTACATTCAGTAATCTTGCTCTGATTTGTCATCCTGAGGGTCCCAGAGATAAAATGTAGTGTAGTTTTGTTTGAAAAATCTATTTTATATTCAAATGTAGGAAATGGGTTGTACAGTTTGACCCCACTGCTGTCTCTGGCTCCACACCCGCCCGGCCATCTAGAGGTGTGAAGGTTAGTGTCTTTTTTGTAGGGAAGCTAATGATCCATCATGTATGACATTCCTGGGAGTGTGTAAACTTAAATGTTTTATTACCATAGCATTTTTGTATGTTCTCTATAGTTATGTACATGAAAATGTAAACATTTACCAATTCGGCACATTTGGGAAAACTCCTGGCAGACTTGATACAAAATATTGTGTAGTGATGGGGCGGCAGGTAGCTTAGTGGTTAAGAGCGTTGTGCCAGTAACCGAAAGGTCGCTGGTTCTAATCCCCGAGCCGACTAGCCCTTGAGCAAGGCACTTAACCCTAATTGCTCCTGTAAGTCGCTCTGGATAAGAGCGTCTGCTAAATGACAAAAATGTAAATGTAATGTAAAATGATGTAATTCTTCACTGGATCAGTCTGAAACGTTGCACACTCACTGCTGCCATCTTGTGGACAACATCTAAATTACACCTAGAATCCTACATCACTGTCTGGCCTTTCTCTTGCATTTCAAAGATGATTCTAAAAATAAAACGCTTCTTTTTTTTGTATTATCTTCTACCAGATCTGTGTTATATTCTCCTACATTTAATTTCACATTTCGACCAACTTCAAAGTGTTTCCTTTCAAATTATATCAAGAATATGCATATCCTTGCTTCAGGTCCTGAGCGACAGGCAGTTAGATTTGGGTATGTCATTTTAGGCTTTTTTTTTGTTTTGTTTTAAAGGGTCCGATCCGTAATTAACGTCCCGTCCGAAAGACTGAATCCTACACAGGGCAATGTCCCCAATCACTGCCCTAGCTTCAGAGGTAAACCAGCAGTGGGATTCAGGGTGGTATGCTGCTGGCCACTCTCTCCTGTTGTGCTACGAAGTAACGATTGCAGGCATGTGTTTTGTCCGTGGCTGTGATGTAGGGTTCGGAAGAGCGATTGAAATGGTAGGAGGTAAATCCCAACTTCAAGTGGTTTCAGATATCACATCCTACGTGTCCGTGGGAACCAGGGCTAAAACCTCAACGCAAGCCATTTCGATCTAAGGTATCCATAGATAGATTTTATAAGCGAAAAATGTAGGTCGGTACCAGAACCACGCAGGTCCCCTAAAGAGGTTTAACTGACAGTCATATGCAGTTACATGCATAAAGTTTGATAGGCTACTGAACTGAAGGAAAGCACGCATCAATTCAGTCACAACAGATAAGAGGTATTTTCGGAATATAACAATATGAGTAAAAAACATTTGTGAACCGGCTATTCGTAACGTTTGAATCGGTTTTCTGACCGATGCATGCTTCATTTGGATCAGTTTGGGCTCCCGCAGACTGATGTACTCCTTTCTTAAACATTTGAACCGATGTATATCGGTGAATCATTACATCCCTAATATCTGGTTAGATATAGTATGCTTGGCCTATGCTCTTAAATCCACATAACTCCTATGTTTTAACAAACAAACAATCACAATATTTGAAAAATCAAAAAGTAGCGTATTTGTGCAATTGCAGTATACAGCCAAGTTGCAGTTGTGGTCACATGATTCTTGTGGACTCCAACCTGTTGCCCCTCCCTTTGCAGCCTTGTTGTAGTCCATCCCCAGCCAGACCGTCCCCAGCGAGGCGTAGACCAGTCAGCAGGGCTGTCGGGAGCCCTAGACAGACGCTGAAAGGGAAGGATCTGAGTCTGACTGGTCCATCCAGTGGATATGAGCAGCCCACTGTGGCCTCCCAGGCCCGTGCTCCCTCTCCCTACACCCACCGCAGGATGTGCCAACTGTCTGAGGAGGCCCGGCAGAGACTCAGCTACCTTCAACTTGGGCCCTACAGGTTCAAGAAGGAAACAGAGCCCCAGATCCCCTTTGTGGTTGGTGTTGTTTACCTGTCTTGCTGTCTGATAAACAGTTGGTCTGACTGTTTGTCTATATGTGTGTAGAGATACAGTGGATTTAAAAAGTCTACACACCCCTGTTAAAATGCCATGTTTTTGTGATGTAAAAGAATGAGACAAAGAAATCATGTCAGAACTTTTTCCACCTTTTAATGTGACCTATAACGTGATCAATTAAATTGAAAAAAAACAAATATTTGAGGGGGGAAAATAAAGAATAAAAAACTCACAATAACCTGGTTGCACACCCTTAAACTAATACATTGTTGAAGCACCTTTTGATTTTATTACAGCACTGTCTTTTTGGGTAGGAGTCTATTATCATGGCACATCTTGACGTGGCAATATTTGCCCACTCTTCTTTGCAAAAGCGCTCCAACTCTGTCAGATTGCGAGGACATCTCCTGTGCACAGCCCTCTTCAGATCACCCCAGAGATGTTCAATTGGATTCAGGTCTGGGCTCTGGCTGGGCCATTCCAAAACGTTAATCTTCTTCTGGTGAAGCCATGCTTTTGTGGATTTGGATGTGTGCTTTGGGTCGTTGTCGTTCTGAAAGGTGAACTTCCTCTTCATCTTCAGCTTTCTAATGGACGCCTGAAGGTTTTGTGTCAAAATTGCCTGGTATTTGGAACTGTTCATAATTCCCTCCACCCTGACTAAGGCCCCGGTTCCAGCTGAAGAAAAATAGCCCCAAAGCATGATGCTGCCACCACCATGCTTCACTGTGGGTATGGTGTTCTTTGGGTGATGTGCAGTGTTTTTGCGGCAAACATACCTTTTTGGAATTAAAAAACCAAAAAGTTCAACCTTGGTTTCATCAGACCATAACACATTTTCCCACTTGCTTTTGGGGGACTTGATGTTTGTTTTTGCAAACTTCAGCCGGGCTTGGATGTTTTTCTTTGTAAGAAAAGGCTTCCGTCTTGCCACCCTACCCCATAGCCCATTTATATGAAGAATACGGGAGATTGTTGTCACATGTAGCACACAGCCAGTACTTGCCAGAAATTCCTGCAGTTCCTTTAATGTTGCTGTAGGCCTCTTGGAAGCCTCCCTGACCAGTTTTCTTCTCGTCTTTTCATACATTTTGGAGGGACGTCCAGTTCTTGGTAATGTCTCTGTTGTGCCATATTTTCTCCACTTGATGATGACTGTCTTCACTGTGTTCCATGGTATATGTAATGCTTTGGAAATTATTTTGTACCCTTCTCCTGACTGATATCTTTCAACAATGAGATCCCTCTGATGCTTTGGAAGCTCTCTGCGGACCATGGCTTTTGCTCTGAAATGCAACTAAGAAAATGTCAGGAAAATCCTACTAGAACAGCTGAACTTTATTTGTGATTAATCAGAGTCACTTTAAATGATGGCAGGTGTGTAATGACTTCTATGTAACATGAGTTTGAATGTGATTGGTTAATTCTGAACACAGCCACATCCCCAGTTATAAGAGGGTGTGCACACTTATGCAACCAGGTTATTGGAAGGTTTTTATTTTTCATTTTTCCCCCCTCAAAGATTTCCGTTTGTTTTTCAATTGAATTGTTCACATTATAGGTCACATTAACAGTGGAAAAAGTTCTGACATGATTTCTCTTTGTCTCATTCTTTTACATCACAAAAACCTGGCATTTTAACAGGGGTGTGTAGACTTTTTATATCCACTGTGTGTGTGTATATATATATATATATATATCAGCCCAGTTTTCAATGTCCTATTATCTTACTTCTCAGTTAGGCTAGGCTATTCCATCAGCACTTCTTTCACTCGCTTTCTTTTAAGGATCTCTGCATGCATTGTAAGTATAAATAGTTCACCCTTGTTTGCTGCAAACATTTTAAATGTACCAGGATTGAAGGATTTGCATATATTTTATAGGGAGGGTATTGCTATGATCAAGCCCAATAGATCCCAAGCCCCTGGGCATGGATTGAGAATAACTGGAAGGCCTTTCACTGGCTCCTCGTGTTTCTGTTTGATTGTTAATTTAAATAACATCCAGTCCTGAGGTGTAAATATCAAAGCTGTCATTAAAGTAAAGATTGGGATTTAGCTGTGATATCAGTGTGGCATTTTCCGGCAATACAGCCTTTAAAAAGGGAGCGTTTTACAAGAGGAAATCCCGGGGCTACAATTAACCTAGTTAATTAAGAGTCAAACCATGATTAACAAATAGTTACCTATTGAAGTAGCTGAGCCCCGCACTGAATGCATTATCAATGTGTGTTTAAAGCCTGCACTGCGCACGTATGTGGAAGCAAATAGCTCATTTCTTCAGTGCGTGTAATAGTCATGTTTAATTGAAGAGTGTGGGGTTCAGTTGACACATCAGCTCCTAATAGAGGTTGAGTTAGTGGTGTCGGTCAGCCTAAAAAGTTTCTCTCTTTGGTTAAACCTTTTTATAGTCTTTATATAACTTTTGATTAACTCTGGAATTAAAGATAAATATAGCAGGAGAAATTAGCTCCCTGTGTGTCATTACATGCTGCTTAGTTAGCACCTCTATTATTATTATTATTATTACTATGTTAATTACTGACTTTAGCTGATTGTTTTGTATTTTATATGCTACAGGTCTCCAGTACTCTGAGTGCCTCCATGATCGAGACTCCATCTCGTCTCTCCTCTAAAAGAAGCCTTCCCCACAGCAGGTCCACCAGCTTTGCTGCAGACAACTCAGGAGGTGAGTAATTATGTGTAGCAATATCTGTGTTGGTGGATGTAAATACATTGTATTTTTTGATATACCTGACTAACTTACAGGTTACCACTTTTGCATTGTATGGTACAGTACTGTTATTCAAATTTTTTCTCCTTAGATTTCTCTCTCCTTGGCAGCTACAGACCAACGCCTGTTAAAGTAAGTCAATATATAGAATACAGTGGGGGAAAAAAGTATTTAGTCAGCCACCAATTGTGCAAGTTCTCCCACTTAAAATGATGAGAGAGGCCTGTAATTTTCATTATAGGTACACGTCAACTATGACAGACGAAATGAGAAAAGAAAATCACATTGTAGGATTTTTAATGAATTTATTTTCAAATTATGGTGGAAAATAAGTATTTGGTCAGTAACAAAAGTTTCTCAATACTTTGTTATATACCCTTTGTTGGCAATGACACAGGTCAAACGTTTTCTGTAAGTCTTCACAAGGTTTTCACACACTGTTGCTGGTATTTTGGCCCATTCCTCCATGCAGATCTCCTCTAGAGCAGTGATGTTTTGGGGCTGTCGCTGGTCAACACGGACTTTCAACTCCCTCCAAAGATTTTCTATGGGGTTGAGATCTGGAGACTGGCTAGGCCACTCCAGGACCTTGAAATGCTTCTTACGAAGCCACTCCTTCGTTGCCCGGGCGGTGTGTTTGGGATCATTGTCATGCTGAAAGACCCAGCCACGTTTCATCTTCAATGCCCTTGCTGATGGAAGGAGGTTTTCACTCAAAATCTCACGATACATGGCCCCATTCATTCTTTCCTTTACACGGATCAGTCGTCCTGGTCCCTTTGCAGAAAAACAGCCCCAAAGCATGATGTTTCCACCCCCATGCTTCACAGTAGGTATGGTGTTCTTTGGATGCAACTCAGCATTCTTTGTCCTCCAAACACGACAAGTTGAGTTTTTACCAAAAAGTTATATTTTGGTTTCATCTGACCATATGACATTCTCCCAATCCTCTTCTGGATCATCCAAATGCACTCTAGCAAACTTCAGACGGGCCTGGACATGTACTGGTGTAAGCAGGGGGACACGTCTGGCACTGCAGGATTTGAGTCCCTGGCGGCGTAGTGTGTTACTGATGGTAGGCTTTGTTACTTTGGTCCCAGCTCTCTGCAGGTCATTCACTAGGTCCCCCCGTGTGGTTCTGGGATTTTTGCTCACCGTTCTTGTGATCATTTTGACCCCACGGGGTGAGATCTTGCGTGAAGCCCCAGATCGAGGGAGATTATCAGTGGTCTTGTATGTCTTCCATTTCCTAATAATTGCTCCCACAGTTGATTTCTTCAAACCAAGCTGCTTACCTATTGCAGATTCAGTCTTCCCAGCCTGGTGCAGGTCTACAATTTTGTTTCTGGTGTCCTTTGACAGCTCTTTGGTCTTGGCCATAGTTGAGTTTGGAGTGTGACTGTTTGAGGTTGTGGACAGGTGTCTTTTATACTGATAACAAGTTCAAACAGGTGCCATTAATACAGGTAACGAGTGGAGGACAGAGGAGACTCTTAAAGAAGAAGTTACAGGTCTGTGAGAGCCAGAAATCTTGCTTATTTGTAGGTGACCAAATACTTATTTTCCACCATAATTTGCAAATAAATTCATTAATAATCCTACAATGTGATTTTTCTTTTCTCATTTTGTCTGTCATAGTTGACGTGTACCTATGATGAAAATTACAGGCCTCTCTCATCTTTTTAAGTGGGAGAACTTAAAACTGTGGTCCTCTGTAGCTCAGCTGGTAGAGCACGGCGCTTGTAACGCCAGGGTAGTGTGTTCGATCCCCGGGACCACCCATACGTAAAAATGTATGCACCCATGACTGTAAGTCGCTTTGGATAAAAGCGTCTGCTAAATGGCTTATTATTATTATTATTATTATTATTATTATTATTATTATTGAACTTGCACAATTGGTGGCTGACTAAATACTTTTCCCCCACTGTGTATATATAACACATGAAAGACTATATTATGTGAGTAATAAACATTATATGAATGATTTGGTGCTTGAAAAAAATGGAAATATATTGTATTTCAAATACTGCATGTCTTTATGTGATTAAAGGTCCAATGCAGCTGTTTTTATCTCAATATCAAATCATTTCTGGGTAACAATGAAGTACCTTACTGGGATTGTTTTAAATTAAAATGGTCAAAAAGAAACAAAAATAGCTTCTTAGCAAAGAGCAAATTCTCAAGCAAGAATTGGTGGTCTGAGTGGGGAGGGGAAAATAATTGAAAACTAGCTGTTATTGGCAGGGAGGTTTGGAACTCTCTTTCTTATTGGTCTATTAACTAATTTACCGCCTGGTGATGTCAACAGGCAGGCCAAAACTTTTCAAACAGCTCTTACACTAAAAGGGTATTATCATCATTTTCGCAATTTCCCAGTATTATATTCCAACCTCATATTATGGAAATGTATATAAAACACAGGAAAATCATGTTTTTGACTGCACTGGGCCTTTAGGAGAAATAATGCAGTGCGTTCAACTGTGCTGATCAAAGGTCTTCTTGTCTTTCTCCAGGTAGGCACTGGCTGTCTGAAGAATCAGAAATCCCCAGGGAAGTCTTCCAGACAGGACTGTTCCAGAACCACAGTCAGGATGGCTCGGTCAGCCCTGGCTGCCCAGTCCTCTACCCCAGTGTGTGGCCCGAGGAGTCCCTTGCTCAGCCGCACCTCGCTCAGAGAGCGGTAACAACACACCCGCTACTGGAACACAGTTTAACACTCATGCATTTTTCTGTCTTGGCCTCTTATGGGCTTTTTTAGTTTCCCACACAGCTGTCCTCCTGAGATAAAGTTAGATAATAAGGAGCATAATTAAAGTCCCTGCTAATGACTTGGTGTTTTGTCTCTGCCGTCCCCCGAGTAGTTTGTGCAGATCAACAATGGCAAGATCTGAAGCTGTGTCATTAGGTATCTTCTCTAGCTTGACATCGCTACGTTTTTCTCCCAGCTGAGTAAAAAGGGGAAGAAAAATAGTTTTTTGGTAGAATTTGACTTGACTTTGTCATGCTCGGAGCTAAGCTATTTGTGTTTGCTCAACAGATGTTGAAAGGACTGCGGGAGAAACCAACTCTCCAATATTTCCAATTATATGGTATTGACAATGTGGACCTCATGAGAGCCTCAGACTTTGTACTTGTAATCTTTATTTTGATCACACTCTACAGCCAAGATTAATATCCCCCTCTCTCAAATGACAGGATCTGATGTCTTGTCATGTTTGTTCATTACTTAAAAGAAAAAAAAGGATCCATGAGAAAACAAAGGAAAATGGTATTGATTGTGTTTCAGCGAGACAGACTGCTTTTGACCTGACGCACACTTTAATAAATTCTGAGAGACCCTGTTATTGATCTGAACAGCTGCGAGCTAAACCAACAAATGTTTGGTTGTTTGTTACGCCACCTCCCTTTTTTCAGTTCATAAGTAAACATTAAAATCAATAGGCAATTTTAAACTGGAAAGTAAATTGTAGGAAATGAATGATGCTTCTCTCAATTGAAAACGCGACAGAAGTCACAGAGCTGGAGATTAAGCTGGGCTTTGTAGATTCCGACGACAGGAGAAGGAGCACGTCTTGTGGAAGTCTTTGATGGAAAAGCAAATGATAGATCCTTACATCAACTTTGCCCTCCACCCTCAGTCTATTCATGTTCTGATGACCTGTCCTTTATGACTATCTGAAGCAGTGACTACATTTTAGCTGATTAAAGATAAAAAGCAGCACCAAATGGCAAGACAGCACGACTCCCTTACCAATCAGATGGCAAGACAGCACGACTCCCTTACCAATCAGATGGCAAGACAGCACGACTCCCTTACCAATCAGATGGCAAGACAGCACGACTCCCTTACAAATCAGATGTGGATTGGAAGTACCGTAATACAGCGCTTAGAAGTATTTACTTTGTCTTTTGTAAGCCTCCTCTTATATGGCCCTTTTGCCAGTTAACGGACAGCAATTCTTTTTTATGTTGTACTAAACAATAAGTCTGTGTCCCTAGACTAATAGACAGTATTCTCATTGTTGACGTTATACAGTTTAGGATCGGAACACAGAACCCAATCACACTTTTAGAAGAGTTGAATTCAAAGAAATGTGAAACATTCAAAGCATCAATAATCTAGAGTAGTTACCTACATGCTCCTTGGGATACAGCACAGACTAGTGGAGAAAAGGAGTACTGTTCAGAACACAGATTACTTTTCTTTTTTGAGTGTTGGGGACAATATTGCAGATACATTTTGATTTGGTTTCCTGCTTACCATAATGTTACATACTTTGTTGTGTGAAGGGGATGTGATGCGACTGGGATGTCATTATTCTAGGTTCCATAGTAGTGCGTCCAGTCCGTCTAAGGAGATCCACAGTCGAGTCCAGAAGATTCTCCACACCCATGCTACTGACAGGAAACTACACTTTGTGAGTAACCTATGACCTTTTAGGATAGACAAAGCATAGGCTCCTACTGATATTGACAGATCAATGCCTAAGAAGCATTTATAATATGGAGCTTGGAACACTTTTGTTGGTTATGAAGATTAATATGCATGTTATGGAACATTAGTTCTGCACTACATCTTTGTCTAGGCTTGATTTTACTTATTTGATGAGCTGAACTTCCTCTCACCTCTGTGTTGATTTTTGTTCCCCATTTCAATTTAAAGCCTTGAAATACCTGTTCGGCTCGGTTTACCTCAAATGGAAAAAGCTGTCGAGTTGGCAGGTGTTGCGTTAATAAGACGTATCACTTCCCACCCTTTGCTGTTTGACATGTCCTGATGGCGAAACCAAAGGGAAATCTGTTTAATTACTCTAAAGCTGTCTGAAATCCGCTCTGAAATAAAAGGGAGACGGGGTTCTGTGGGTGGGAGATCTTCAGGCAGTAAGCTTCTGTTAAGGGCTCATCTTCTCTAGCACAAACAGAGAGAAGGTACCAAGGAGCCTCAGCATGGTGCCAACAGCTACATGGCTGAAGCAGAGCTTCAAGAGGAAGAAATGCCTAATCCACACATAATTAAAAGGAAAGACTGAGGGGGATTTACTAAAAGAGAATGAAATCAAACAACTGAAAGAGCTTAACTTTAAATAGGATATTTTGAATTATAGTAAACAGTGCTATATTTTTAGGGTTTGTGCAATGAATTGATTCGCTAATGTCACATATTTGTCACACACTTGGGAGTGTATAATCTGTTAATATTTTCAGTAATGCTCAATAATAGTAACAATAAACAAAATATTTGTATATTTTCAGGACAAAGATGGGTGTTCGGCTAAGCGGGGGCCTCAGCTCTCCTGTGAAGACTCTTTATGCGACAGCCAGGCCTTCCAGGACAGGTACACACACTCTAGGCCTATCATAATACCATGAAACACCTAATAACTGACATCTTCATGTCATCATAATAATAACCAGAAAGAGGCTTTCTACCGTTTTGACAATATATTTTTGTTTGGCATTTAATCCTGTCTGTTTTTATATGTTAGTTATCTTTGAACAATAATTAGAACGATGTGCACTAATGGTCTGTACTGTAGCATTAATGTTCTTCTTAACCTGATGCCTTTTCTGATGTCCTCCCGCTGCAGGGACACTCCTGGAGAGACATCTGTCCACCTGGACAATGGGACATTCTGGAGCAGCCAGGTTGCCCGCTACACAGGGAAACACCACAGGGCTGTGTTTGAGGACAGTCTGGGACTCATCTACAAGAACTTGTACAGGAGGGCCTCCAGCACCACCTGAGACCTACATAAATCATTGCTTCAGACACCTGGCTGGGCTCCAATTATGACTGTGGTGGTACTTGAGATGGCTAAGATGAAGGAACACTGAGCTATACTATAACCAAAACTTTGTCATATGTGCCCAGGTGACCAACTGATTCATGAACTAATAGTTTTGCAAAAATAGTTTCACTTTAGCACGAGTATATGTAAACAGGTGGAGTAACATTCATGAAAATGATTTATAGGGTTACATTCGTGCAATAGTTCCCCTATTTAAATGGTTTTATTTATACTTTTTTATAAAGACAGGCATTTTGACGCTAAGAATGTTTTACTCTAAACTGATTTAATAACTGTACTTTGAAGGAGACAGATTAAATATTCATTTTGAATTGTCTTTGTCTAATTTGTGGAACTAATTCTTATTAACAACTTGGGATGTAAAATCCAACAAGATCTGCTACTCAAAGTAATTTGAAGTTGACCCTTCTGCTCCTAATGGCAGAAACATGGTTCCTGACTGTTCTGTAGGGTAGTCTGCTGGAGATGAGCTCCAGAGAGTCCACCATCTGTGGTTTAGCCAGAGAACGGGCCACCAGGACAGAAGACTTGACAGTGCAGCGCAAGTGTCTTCTTTTCACCCTTTCCACGTGATGTGTCCAATAGAGCTCTGAAGCTGCTGGCCGCAAACAACCAACAGGAGGCCGGCAAGATTTTTCTGGGTAGAAACTGGTTGAGCAGATAATTCATTTGATCTCTTTGTATGTGGATTTGTACCCACAGAGACAAAAAAAAAATTCCAGCAAAAATACACATAATGGGAAGGATTACAGAGAATAGCTTTTGTAAAACAGTCCCTTTGGGCACAATGCAGCCCGTTCAACTCAATTGGCTTTTCTGGATAGAGCAAAAGACAACGTACAGTAGACCAATGGCGTAAGCTGGTTTTGATTTATTGAACATTGGAAAGTTGAGTTAGACATTTGCTCAAAAAAAATGAGTGCTTGAACTAAGTATGTCCTGTTTGTCATCCTGTAGTATTTTTTTAATTTAACCTAAAAAAAATATTTGATATGTCAGGGAAAGGTATGTGAATAGTTCCCCAGTGTTTCTTGGCAGTTCAGAGCCGCTCTTCAGCTTTACTTAAGTATACTAATGGGGAAACTCCTAACCAATATAGCATAGGCTAATGGTGGCTATGCATAATACATTTGAAATCTTGATTCCATTGTTTATAGCCCCTAATGTAAACAAAGGCCCAGTGCAGTCAAATGTGATTTTCCTGCATTTTTATATACACTGAACAAAAATGCAACATGTAAAGCGTTGGTCCCATGTTTCATGAGCTGAAATAAAAGTTCCCAGAAATGTTCCATACGCACAAAAAGCTTCTCAAATGTTGTACACAAATGTTTACATCCCTGTTAGTGAGCATTTCTCTTTTGCCAAGATAATCCATCCACCTGACAGGTGTGGTATATCAAGAAGAGAATTTGGCAGAAAGTCCAACTGGCCTCACAACCTCAGACCACGTGTATCATTGTGAAAAGAGTGCCCCATAGTGGTGTTATGGTATGGGCAGGCATAAGCTACAGACACACTTGCATTTTATCGATGGCAATTTGAATGCACAAAAATACCCCATAGATTAGGGCCTAATGAATTTATTTAAATTGACTGATTTCCTCATGAACTTTAACTCAGTAAAAATCAATGAAATTGTTACAGGTTGCATTTATATATTTTGTTGTATATATCCACACTAAGCCTTTGGAATGATACTGAGAAATTGTGGTAATGTCCTTGTTTGAAAAGACTGCCAGAAATGTCAGCCGTTTTGGTGGGATGGAGTTTTGGCCTGCCTGTTGACATCACCAGGCGGTAAATTAGTTGATAGACCAATAAGAAAGTTCCAATCCTCTCTGCCAATAACAGCTAGTTTTCAATTTCCCCGCCCCCACTCCGACTAATCCCAGACAGTCCTGACAAAATTCTTGCTTGAGAAATTGCTCTTTGCTATGAAGCGATTTGTTTTCAATAAAAATGATAAAAAATAAAACAAATCACAGTAAGGTACTTAATTGTTACACAGAAATGTGACAGAGATAAAAAAACGCTGCATTGGACATTTAAAAAAGTCAAAATCTGTTGATCCATAGTTCGTTCATGTTTATAAAACAGATGCATCTCCACTCAGCCACTGTAAATGGTACTGTATGTGTTTAATTAACAGGCTTTCATTCAGGCATTAACATAATGGTCTCAATACAGCCATATGACTGCATTGTTTACTACAGTACTCGGTCATTCTTACTTTCTGAACTTATTGTTCTTCCTATTCTTCTTGCCAGCACCAATGGCTGCTTTTTCTGTCATGATCTGTTGGTATTTCTTCTTGTTGTTGCTGTTGAGGTTAAAGGGAAAGTATAAGCACCTTTCAAGTAGTTCATATCAAATATTTAATGCCAATTCAATTGTTAAGCATTTCCATTAACTGTATGCCAGAACAATAGTTTCAGGCCCAGACAAGATATGAACTGTAATACTGTACATGACAAAGGTAAACTGAAACTTACTGTCTGAACTCTGCATCAGCAAGCAACTCCTCCACCATGGTTCTCTTCCGGTCTTTCTTTGGGACACGGGAATGATAGAAGTCCACAGGGCTATCTACTACTGTAGCAACCTGTAGCAAAGGCATTCAAGCACAAAAAGCTTAAAATAGTTCCAAAAGAAGCGTACATTGTACATCCTTAATTCTAGCTAAGAGTAGTGAGGAATAGTGGGTCAAGGTTTTTTTTTTCTCCACATAGCGTTGAACACACAACATATGGACCACTGGGACAACCAACCACAGTTGACGGTTACGGACCTGGAAATACTTGGGGAATCCATCTCTATCGTTCTTCTTGTAAAACCGCTTGGGGTCCATTGCTCCACGCATTTTCAATGCTTTGAGGTCGCCCTTTAATTGCTCTGTCATTTCAGGAGCCCGCATGTTAAACCAGCTGTCTCCAGCTGTCTCCTCCCTCTCCACCTGAACATGGCAAGACAAGGAGGAAACATGCCCGTCAGGATTGTCAATGAGTGAACAAACTGAACAAAAAAAGCTAAATGTAGTAGAAATATACCTACCAACTACTAATATAAGTTCTCCTTGTATCACACTACTTCTCTTCTAAATGAATAAACAAGGGTATATGGACTGGTATATGGTGCTCACTTTGCGCTTCAGTTTCGCAGCCTGTTTGGACTCCCTGTATGGCGGCACAGCATCTTTCTTCTCAAACTCTGGGCCAATAACACTCTTCTTCATCAACTGCCAACAGAGAAAACAAATCACAATGTAGGAGATGCAGAAAATCTGAAAACCCCAGAGATCCGTGGCAGTCAACGGGTTGAAATTCATGAAAACCTTCCTCTCATTATTGAATTACCCAGCCTTGCATAACTGCACAATTCATTACCAATTCTGCACCATATATCACCTTCAAACAAAATTAATTAAAGTTATTTACCTCATCTTGGCTCTTCTGTTCCTTCAGTTTTTTCAGGGAGTTAGAGACAATCTTTGATTTGCTGCCATCAAAATTGATGTATAATCCCCCAAGCTCCTTCAATCTCAGGCCCGGGTCAATGCGGCTGGACAACTCTTTCCTATAACAGATTGTCTCAAATAATTACCCGGGAGAGGCAGCATTGTCTAGTCTCCAACTGGTTCACTCTTGATATGTTAATGAAAATGAATGTGAACAGTCTTTATACGTGCTTGGCATTGCAATTCAATGAGTAAATAGCTCCATTGCTTGAGATTAAAAAACTAAATCCTGCTATACATTCAGAATAAAATGGCACAGTGTAGCTGGAGCCATGTCAACTTAAAAGAGCCATTTTTAAAGCACAGATTACATTGGCATGAACAAAACAGATACTTACAACTGTGGATTTCTGCTTGTGAAGAGGACTTGCGCATCTTCATCTCCCTCCTGATCAACACATTCTTCCTCATCTTGCTCTTCTTCAATGGCCTCCGTGTCTCCCTCAGTATCCACCTCCTTCTCATCCACGTAGTACTGTTCATCTGACTGAAGGCCAGGCCGGGTATCTACGACAAACAGGCCAACAGGAGCCGAGGACTGAGCAGCAGCAGCAGCTTGAGGTCTGGATGGGCCTGCATCCTCTACACAGACAGCTTCCTCTTCACCATCAGGACCCTGTCTTTCACTCTCATCCCCCTCCTCTTCAGAATGCTGGCTATTGTCATCCTCTTCTTCCTCACTGCTCTCCAGTAAACTGATCACGCCAGATTTCTGTATGATGACAGAGTCTCTGGACTCCTCTAGCTTGTCAGCATCAGACACACTGAACTTCAGGTTCTGGCTAGAGGTCACCTCAATGGGCTCTGTGGTGTGAGGGGCTTGGTCTTGATCAGCCATTTCATTCTCAGTTACTAGGGTGCTACTCACATCCATAGCCTCCTCACTAGGCACGGCCTTACATTCCTGGCACTCTACCTCCGACGGAGACCCTCTGTGGAGGTTTACATCTACATCCATTACCTTTTCCTCATCAGACACCATTATAACAGGGGACATTGCATTTTCACACGCTGTTACTTTTACTGTATGATCAAGAGAGACTTGTGCATCAGCTGGTGTTATCGACTCCTGTTCTATTTTCACTGGGGCGTCAGCATCTTCTGCATCCTTAGTGGACAGCTCCCTCTGCTGGTCTTCTGCTTTCACTGCATGCTCACAGACCGCCTCAGCCATCTCTGCATCAGCACTCTCACAGACTGTCACTCTGACTTCAGACTCTGCTGGCATCACTTTCTCATCCTGTAGGATGGTTTCCTGCGCAGGGACATTCACCTCAGAGGTATTCTTCTCTGGCTCTTCACGGACAGTTGTCTCTCCTGACTCCTGTTGTACACTAGTGACCTCTGGCATCTCTGCATCCTGAGAGACTGTCACACTCCCGGTTTGCTCCAGAGCAGATTTTGGAACTTGGATGGGATCTGGCTCAGCAATCACTACATCCTGATCCTCAAGGATTATGGTCTTATCATCTTCACCCACTTCTTCTATCACGGAGCAGTATGGATCAGCGTTGACTATGTCCTCTAATTGATGGTTCTCTGACACACTATCCTCTGAAAACTCAGATACACTCACCTTATCTGACTGGCATAGGGATTTCTCAACTAGTATATCCAGGGCCTTGGCTGTTAGCCGGGTAAGTGGAGCTGCCCTGGAACTGCTGTTGGATCCAGTGTGACTACTACAGGGGGTGCCCCTGCCTCTCACTGAGCTAGGGCTACCCAGAGGGGTATACACATCAGTCAGGTCAGACTCAGAGTCCGTTACAGTGGTGCCTGTCAGTTTAGGCTCAGTCCGCCTGCGAGTGGACCTCCTGGGAGTCATACTTGGCCCAGACTCAAAGCCCTCAGAGTCACAAGTCTGGGGGTCACAGGGAACTGCTTTACCCACACCTCTGCTTCTCCTGCGGAGTAGAGGGGAGTTGGAGCCATCAGTAGTTTCCTCCAAATTAATGGGGATAGTGTCAACAAACCGACCCGTCCTGCGCACTGTGGAGGTCTGAGCATCAGAGACACAGGACTCAGGATCTGAAAGCTCGGTGTCCTCAGTATGAGACAATGAAGCAGTCCTTGTGCTCCTGGTCACTCTGGTCTGGGAGTCAGGCACCTGGGACTCAGACACCACAGAGCTGCAAGACTCTGCCTCAGAATTATTATGGTCCTGTTTGGCAGAGTCTTTGAGAACGGTCTTCCTTAGAGTCCTGGTGGCTCTGTGAATGTTTGGTCCTCTGGAGGCAGACACTGAGGAGGAACAAGAGTCTACCTCAGACACATCCTCTTCCTTTATTGCATCAGGCAGCTCCCCGCCTGCGGCTCTCCTTCGGCCCCTGCGAACTGGCTGTGTGTCGGGGATAACCTCCATATCTGAAACAGCAGAACAGCAGAACTCGGACTCAGACACGTCAGCTTCATGAGTGGAGTCTACCTGGTTAGCAGAGCCAGTTTGACGTTTGGACGCCCTGGTCTTCCTCTTCACGGTGGACCTCTGGGCCTCGGAGGGAACATCGTGCTGGGAGTCACTGGTCACCTCAGACTGGGTTGCAGTCTCCCCTTTATCAGCTGTCCTCCTGGTTCTCAGAGTGGACGCTGGAGTGGCCTGTGGAGAAATATGTCAATCCTGGTACTTCTGAACTATGAGACAAATCACTTAATTTATGAAAGCAAATCAATCTCTGGCATGATGAATCTATTGAAAACAGTAGGGTGTAGTTATGTTTTTGACAGTGGAGAAGTGTTAAAACGAATCAACTTATCAAGACATTGATTAGCTAGCTGGCTATTTGATTCAGGTGTGTCAGTAACCACATTTCCATCCACAGTTTTTAAAGTCCTACCATATAAAAAAGATCAAGACAGCTGTGATGGAAACAGGAAGTTTCGGTACAATTTGATACATTCCGACAATTTGCTTGTTTGAAATGGTGGGATCTTTTTGTGTTTTTGAGTCACTGACCACCTTCCGGAGACACTTGAAACCCTCTCTCTTTAAGGAATACCTGGAATAGTATAAAAGTAATCATTCTACCCCCCCCCTCCCCTCATAAAAAAAAAAAAAAAGAGGAAAAAAGATTGGGTGGTTGTCCCACTAGTGATCATAAGTTGAACGCACCAATTTATAAGTCGCTCTGGATAAGAGTGTCTGCTAAATGACTTAAATGTAAAAGTGTTGGTGAAATTAATTATGCGAGAAATGGCAGTGGAAACTCCTTTATGCTCAAATATTGATATAATAACCATTATATCGAAGTAAACTTGGGAGTCACGCAATGATAGGTTGTGTGGTCCTCCCACTACCACTCGGGAAACCATGCAGTTTATGAGGCTACAGAGTAAATACATTATGAACTTCACAAGTGGTGAAAGTGCCCGGTGATCGGGTTGATGCTGCTTTCCAATAAATATCGAGGGTCTTATTCTGGTGACATGATGATCGACGCTTGACTGCCGTTTGACAAATAAAAACACTCTTGTTCTTATCCATAATCTCAACATGTAGACTAGCCTATATGCACAATTTACCTGCACTGTATCTGCGAGCTGTTGGCTAGAAACCAGAGTAGGCATATTTGCTATTTAATGCAACAGTTTGTGAGAAAAATATCAGTCTGGGTTTCCATGTTAGCAGTTTTCCCGCCAAATTGGGATACTTTGAAAACAATGTTGCAGGTGAAAATGTATTGGTCGGTGGCAGGTTTTTGGGCTACTTTTAAATTGCACCGTGGCCGCCCTGGCATTTCTCATTTAAAAAAAAAATATATAGTACCATTCAAAAGTTTGGACACACCTACTCATTCAAGGGTTCTTCTTTATTTTTGACTATTTTCTACATTGTACAATAATAGTGAAGACATCAAAACTATGAAATAACACATGGAATCATGTAGTAACCAAAAAAGTTTTAAACAAATCTAAATATATTTTAGATTCTTCAAAGTAGCCACCCTTTGCCTTGATGACAGCTTTGCACATTCTTGGCATTCTCTCAACCAGCATGAGGAATGATTTTCCAACAGTCTTGAAGGAGTTCCCACATATGCTGAGCACTTTTCCTTCACTCTGCAGTCCGACTCATCCCAAACCATCTCAATTGGGTTGAGGTTGGGTGATTGTGGAGGCCAGGTCATCTGATGCAGCACTCCATCACTCTCCTTCTTGGTAAAATACCCCTTACACAGCCTGGAGGTGTGTTGGGTCATTGTCCTGTTGAAAAACAAATGATAGTCCCACTAAGCGCAAACCAGATGGGATGGCGTTCACTTACTCTGCGTCACAAAGACACGGCGGTTGGAACCAAAAATCTCAAATTTGGACTCATCAGACCAAAGGACAGATTTCCACCGGTCTACTGCCCATTGCTCGTGTTTCTTGGCCCAAGCAAGTCTCTTCTTCTTATTGGTGTCCGTTAGTAGTGGTTTCTTTGCAGCAATTCGACTGATTCACAGAGTCTCCTCTGAACAGTTGATGTTGAGATGTGTCTGTTACTTGAACTCTGTGAAGCATTTATTTGGGCTGCAATCTGAGGTGCTGTTAACTCTAACTTATCCTCTGCAGCAGAGGTAATTCTGGGTCTTCATTTCCTGTGGCGGTCCTCATGAGAGCCAGTTTCATCATAGCGCTTGATGGTTTTTGCGACTGCACTTAAAGAAGTTCTTGAAATGTTCCCGATTGACTGACCTTCATGTCTTAAAGTAATGATGGACTGTAATTTCTCTTTGCTTATTTGAGATGTTCTTGCCATAATTTGGACTTGGTCTTTTACCAAATAGGGCTATCTTCTGTATATCCCCCCCCCCCTACCTTGTCACAACACAACTTATTGGCTCAAACGCATTAAGAAGGAAAGAAATTCCACAAATTAACTTTTAACAAGGCACACCTGTTAATTGAAATGCATTCCAGGTGACTACCTCATGAAGCTGGTTGAGAGAATGCCAAGAGTGTGCAAAGCTGTCATCAAGGCAAAGGGTGGCTACTTTGAAGAATCTAAAATATATTTAGATTCGTTTAAAACTTTTTTGGTTACTACATGATTCCATGTGTTATTTCATAGTTTTGATGTCTTCACTATTATTCTACAATGAAGAAAATAGTAAAAAATTAAGGAAAACCCTGGAATGAGTAGGTGTGTCCAAACTTTTGACTGGTACTGAATATATATATATATATATCCGTTACCTGCTGCTGCTAACTATCAGGCAGTGAGCAGGCTGTTATTGAGTGAGCGAATGGTGGGGAGGGCCAGGGCACTGGTTGAGGAAGTGCTGCTGGAAATCGAGCAGCACGTGCACAAGTCGTGACAGCTTTTTACCAGTTGTAGGTAGGCTATTTAGATTGGTCATTATGGAGACAGCCCTTTTCAATAAAACATATTAAACTGCTAGAACTGGTATAACGGCTACAAAGCATTGGAAAACGACTTTAGGCACACTAGAGCGCTTTAGATAAATTCACTCAGAGGTGGTTTAAAGTCAACTGCATTCTAATGTTGACTTTTCTTATTGATAACCGTATCAAGTGAAGGGTTTTACTCATGCTCAGTTCTAGGGTCTGGAGCGCTGTTCAGGGGAAATTTGAAATGGAAATTATGGAACTCCCTCGCGTGCTTCTGTTATGGGGGAAAGTCTACAATGAAAATGACATTAAATGTGTATCATGACATGGTACATTTGCATGTGTTGGCCAAGTAGGCTATTAATTTATATGCCATTGTAGGCTAGTGTAGCCTACCATTTGATATAATAAATATGTTGAAATATCACTGGAGTCATTGCAAATCAATTTGTGCCACTTGTGTAGCCTACCTGGAGCTGGCAAATGGATTTAATAAATAGCCTATAACTCAGTTTGTTGTAGTATTGTGTTACTATGCAATTATGAATGGCCATGTTTAGTTAATGAAATTGAAAGTTATTAATTGTGATCATGGTCACAGAGCTATCACAAATGTATCATTCTCCACATTAAATGTCAGTTTCATTGTAGACTTTCCCCTGAAATTAGATGTTGGCCTATAGGCTACCTGCATCCAGCTCAGCAAACCATGGCAAATGTCAAATTGCAATTATAAACCCAGATTTTATTCAGTAGCCTATGCCTATAGAAATAACAAGTAAATCACACAAATAGGCCATTTATAACAGTTTGTAATCTTTGTAATCTTAACATCTGACACATAATGGCACAATTGCCAGAAAATAGCCTAACATTCATTTTTTGAAGTTCCTCCAAGTGTTTCTTGAACATAAATTGAGATCCTATGTCCAACATTCATCACTCAAACTCTCCTATCAGATGTATCTATAGTTATGCACGTACAAACAGGATTTATTTACAATTATAAACTGGGTAGTTTGAGCCCTGAATACTGATTGTTTGAAAGCCATGGTATATCAGATCATGTACAACGTGAATGACAAACAAAAAAAACGTGTTACTGTTACTAATTACATTGGTAACCAGTTTATAATAGCAATAAGGCACCTCAGGGGTTTGTGGTATATGGATAATATACCACGGCTAAGGGCTATGTCCAGCACTTAGCTGTGGTATATTGGCCATATACACCATACCTCCTCGACCTTATTGCTTAAACATAGCATGCAAAACAAGTTAAATCGACATCCATTAATGGAAAATGATCTGGAGAGTTGAATAAGGTCAATTTATCGTCTCTCTTGCGAGTTTAAGAATATGTCGCAAGAATTATACTTTTTATGGAAAACCGAACTTCAGAGTAAATTGGGCTAGACATTTTGCTGGACCTGGCAACCCTGCTACCCGTAGTTGAAAATTCGACTGGAAACACATTGAACTTTTGATTTTTATCCGGTACATGAAAACTTGAGCGAAAAATTACATTTTGTGTGCCCAATGTCATCACGCACCGATTTTTATCCGAAAAAAGTCAGTTTGATGGAAACACGAAAAGGCTCATATTTTCTTAATGACGATTTTAGAAGGAAAGCTCTGAAAGTTAACGTTACTTAGCTAGCGGCAATTACACAGAGATTCAGATATTTCACGTTAAAAAGTAGACCAAACAAAAACCATGAATTTCTAAGTTTAACAAACCAACATAATTTCATACACAGGACTACTTTTAAAAATGTCCACTGACATTTTTACAAAAACCCATTTACAGGAAGAACTGGAACTTAGAGATAAAACAGTAAACTACGGGATATTTTTTACCGTAATTCTACAGTTTTTCCAGTAAATGTTTTGTTTACTGTGTATTTTGCTCAAAGTATTGATTGTGCGTAGAGTTGTATGGTTTGTTAAACATTGAAAAATCTATATTTTTTGTTTGGCATACATTTTAAGTAAAAAATAAATAAAATAAAAGTATCAGCGTAATTCCCTTACCATGGAATTGCCCCTAGCTAAAAGCAAACAGTTCAGGCAGGACCAATTTGTGACTACTTCGGTGGAAATAGCAATATTGTACTTATGTTTACACAACTGTTTGCATTGTAAAAAACAAGTGCTTATATATGGAGGACTAAAAGTGCCACAATTAAATAAATAAATACACCATTAAATAATTACTTAAATGTGTCATTAATTAATTCAAATTAGAATTAAATACATAAATGTGTTATTAAATGTATCATTAATTAATTCAAATACCGATTCATTTTATGTAAAATACATATATAATTATTTCACTATTTACATTTACATTTCATGATCCTGCATTGCAGTGATTCATGAATTACTTAAAACTGTCAAACTGACCCATCAAAGTCAGTGGGCGGGGCTAACGCGAATCTAGTCTGATCCATTGCTTTGGTCTGAAGTAGAGTAGGCCAACCTGGATAGAGACAATGGAGGATCTCCGTGAACTTTCCAGGGAGTTGGTTAGAGACATTTTAAACTTAGCAGAGGATGTAGAAGCAGGACCTGCTGACATTATCCGGAATTGATTTGTCTTGGCTTGATGCAGAGGGTAACCAATCAGGCGTTAGGTTCCGCCTACCAACTTTTGATGGGTCAGTTTGACAGTTTTAAGTAATTCAGGAAGCACTCCAACGCAGGACCATGAAATGTAAATGTAAATAGTGAAATTATTATATATGTATTTTACATAAAATGAATCGGTATTTGAATTAATTAATGACACATTTAATAACACATTTATGTATTTAATTCTAATTTGAATTAATTAATGACACATTTAAGTAATTATTTAATGGTGTATTTATTTATTTAATTGTGGCACTTTTAGTCCTCCATACTTATATACTAGCACCTCGCGTTCTTTCTAACATTAAACGCAAAGCAAACCAGAGGGACTGCTTGCTCTGCTAGTTTGCTGTCACGTGGGCATGAACGGTTAACTATTGCACACTGAAAACGATCACGAAACCCGCTGAAATGTATCTAAATCATAGACAAATCTACCGATATGCACGCAATTAAGACCTACTGTAACTCCAGAGGACTCATCGGAGTTTGTTTTCGTTGGGGAGCACACGCATACTCCTCTTCTGGTGGCCACCATCTTGCTCCCGATTTTCAGTCTCACTTCCGCCACGTGTTCCCAACGTCAGCCAGACACGACCAATCGAATCGCGATGCTTGCTGAGGAACGTAAACCGATCGATTTGTTGACGAAAGTACTCTAGTGAGACTAGTCAAGTTTATAATAAATTCATTGAGGATGTATGTCAAATATACTTATGTTTTTATGTGATCTGAAATAAATGGATAATGATTCTGGAGTGATCATGTTCACCCACCTCTTTCAATGAACACATTCTGGGCCTGATTAATGCAGGCCAGGGGCTGAAGGCAGAGAAAAATGGAAATGTATATTTTTTACTGCAACTGTAAACCACAGGAGACCACTTTCTTGCCGCTCTGCTAATCATCAGATGGGAGGAGAGGAGGTAGGGGGCCCCACGTGGGTAACTGGGGGACCCTGCCTTGGTTGGGTAATTGAATCATGGCCAGCCCTAGTCTTTTGGGGCCCTAAGCGAGATTTGGTTGCGTGGCCCCCACACCTGGCAGGCAAAACACTTTAGTCCCCCCCCCCACCATGGCAGAGAGAAAGTAAATGTTTCCATGCCTGGTCGGTATTCGGCCATGATTACTACACGTTTAGATAGATTGGTAAATTACTCTAGCCAGCTAAAAATTGTTAGCTGACATTGCTAATTGCATGACTGACTGTGACTCACAAGACAGAAACTGCTGAAGCACAATGCCTGAACACTGAACACATTTGGGTCATTTAGCAGACACTTATCCAGAGACTTAAAGTTAATGCATTAATTTTAAGATTACAAAACTGGCTGAAATGTAACACTTAAAGTATGTTTAATCATTTCATAAACCCAATTCCAGAACATGATATACAGAAAATGGCAACATTAAATATTAATTACAGTACAAGAGAGAAATCAAACTTTTTGGACCCGGCCTGGAAGAAATGCCATGATGAATAAGGCATCATCCATCCAGACACTTCAGAGCTTGTAATACATTTTCCCATGCCAATCTGGAATTTTTCAGTGCTATTATGTACACAAGAAAAGGTGTCAAGCCTACAAATTTAAACCCTAGGTGGCGCACCCCACAGTTTGGGAACCACTCCCCTAGTACACCCTCAGTCAGTAAGTACGGGGCTTAAAAAATTATATTAAAATGTTTGACATGACAATACTAACATCAATAAAGTATCACTCGATTTTTTGTTTTTAAAAAATAAAATGTGTACACTCAATCAAAAGGAGTTTCTGAACTAACCATAATTGTTCTCACTCACCAGAAATCGATTGGAATTAGGCCTTATTCCCCCCCCCCCCATTACCAATACAGGGTGCTAGTATTATACAGTAGAAACAGTAGGAGCTGCTCATACACATCAGAGAGCACTAGGACTTTATATATGACTCTGTGGCTTTAACAGATCCAAATGACTCATTTCAAATTAATTTTCTCATCAATTTACAATGTGAAAATAGTGGATTAGAGGCTGTGTTTCCACTTTAAACTGCTTTTTTTAGTACAACTGCATTGTATTAAAATAAAAATTCTGTGGTACCAATTCATACTTTTTTCATAATACCCCATAATCCTTGATGCTCATTGATACAGCAGAAATAAAGTAGATGCAGGGAGAAAATAAACTGAGAAAAAGAGGCACTTCACATTCGGAAATCGGTTTTGGAACCATGTTTTCTAAATGTTTAGCTACCCATGTCTGTCTTTAAAACACAGCCTCCACTGCAATGCAGAAGGGTAAGTGGTTTCACTACTATGAATGCATTGGTCATGAATAACATCTGAACTGGTTTTTGGAGGACATGCTACAGGCTGCTTCTCTTTGCGTGAACAAGGTAGCCCTTTGCTTTGATGATCCCCCTGCTTTTGACTATGATGGAGTAGCGCAAAACCCACTCCAATCTCCAGTCTGCTACCTTCAGGTCCTGAGTGCTCTCCTGCACTGCCTCCTGGAAGCTGGCAGCAGTAATCAGTTCTATAGGAAAAGAGACAATGTGTTAATTCACTGCCCCTCAGAGCACACGCACATCCGGTCTGTACCTTACTCATGTAAAATAATGAATAAAAATAGTGAAAAGATCACAAATTCAAATGCAAGAGCACAATCTTCACCTTTGGGGTCATTATGAGTCAGTAGCTGAATGTCAAACTCCTTCGCAAAAGCAGTCAAGTCAGGGGGCATCACACAGCAGGAGGCCAGATTCACCTGGTTACTACTGGGTTTCACCTAGACCAGGATCAAATAAAACTATTCAAAACCCAAAATACACCAAAGCTGTTCTAGAACAATCTGACGGGTCTCGTCAACATCACCACTCACATGGGCCCAGTTGTAGAGCTGCTCCAGGAGCTCCTTGTCCAGGTCGGAGGTGCCGATGGCAGCGATCTTGTGGCTCTGCACCAGGCCCTCCAGCTCCCTCCAGGCAGGCTGCAGGTTGTCCAGGGTCTGGCTCTCTCCCTCAGGCAGAGCAGGGGGCGCAATGATCACAGAGTCCAGCTGGGACACAGCCAGGGCCTGGCAAGCTGTCGGAAACAGTCCATCTTATGAGCATGAAACTTAAAGCACAAAATCGGTTGAGGTAATGCAAACATTAATTGGGTGTGGTCCAGGAACAGACAGCAGTTCACTGATACTAACGTCTACTTCGGTCTGTTGAATTTTGATATGACAGCATGGTCAGGTTTATAGACGATCGCCTATGTCAAATGACTTTTGGCAGTCACAGAGTCAATGTGGTCCTTTGCTTATTTGTAACAAATGTAATACTCACCCTTATCTACTGCATCTTTGATTGAAGAGATGTCTGCCTCACAAAGAAATAGTTTGACTGTAAAGCAAGAATATGGACATGTTCATGACAAAAGCAACCCCTCGTCAAGGTTTGCAACGCCAGGGTTGTGGGTTCGATTCCCACGGGGGGGGGGGCAGTATGAAAAATAAAATAATAATGTATGCACTCACTAACTGTAAATCGCTCTGGTTAAGAGCGTCTGCTAAATGACTAAAATGTAAATGTACCAGGAAAGGTATTTGTCATCAAATTCACATACTGAGCTCAGAATTCCTCATGTCAATGCCACACTATGGTCTCATTACATCACTATGTCCATTGTCATAAAAGCCATAAGTACCAGTAAAACTTACCTGAAACCTTCAGCTCCTCCCTCTCCTCAGGTGTGATTGCTTCTGTAGCTTGAGGGATGGAGCAGTCAATTGTGTCTGGTAAGTCCTAAATAAAAACAGGTGTCAATCAGTACTAGAAAATGTACTCAAATCACAACAAATGTGTTAGTCAAAGGAAAAAAATAGAAGCTTAAAAATACATAAAGAACCAGAGAAGAAACATCAATATTGCCTCCACTTTGTCCTAATACAAACCCAGAATTTCTGTTTCACAATCTCGTTGTGGGATTTCATTGTAGGGATGCACCAATAAGCTTTGGCTTTGTGTAACGCACAGTTCAGACGCTGAACTTATGGCAAGTAGAACTGAATGGAAATTAAGAGCGGGCTGGCACGGTTAAGATCTTTGCTTGACGTACTGATTGGTCTCATATAACCGCTCAACACTGCAGCAGACTTCCTTGTTGGTTTTGGGTCTAAGGTTTTCAGGCATAACAGTGACCTCTCACAGAAGTCCTCCACCTGTGAATCCGAGACCATGAATGTGCTTCCGTTGTGTGTGTGTGTGTGACAGCGAAGCAATCTTTATTTGCATGCAATTAAAATTAATATGCATTAACATTTCTCCCGACAGTGGAAGAACTACTCGCTCTGGCATGCTGCATGAAACAGTGGTATGCTTAATTTGCACTGTGCTAAATATGCAGCAGAGGCTGCGAAAATTGTCAAAAGTCAGACGAGGCGCACTTAATGGTTTCAGACGGCACTCTATCCCCGCTCTTCCAAAGAGAAAGTGACGTATTCTCAGTTCGGTGCAGTGATAGAGCTGTTTGAACTAGGGCTTAGACCCCCCGTACTCACTGAGCGTGCTGAAGCAGATTAGCGGACGCCAGCAGAAACACCACAAGGCAAAGCCACTCCAACCGCACAGCAGAAGCACATGTAGAACCTTTCGCAGCCAACTTTGCATGAACGATCACTATGACAGGTCCCTTTCATTAGTCTGAGGAATTCTTTGCGGTCAGTCAGACAGCTATTTTGCTTTCAAAGCAGTTGAATGCTATCGCGTAGTAGTAACCAATGGTTACACAGGTCTTGTTCATTATAGATCCATCCCTACTTTTCCATTATTTATGCTTGATGATGTAAAATGTTAGCTGATAAAGAGATACTGTAGACACTTGGTCACCATGGGAACTTGGTAAAGAGTGATTATGGACACTTTATATAATTGGTGTTGTTTAGAAGTTGGGTGAATAGCTGTTATGTAGCTATGTGTGTAATAAAACATGCATGGGAAATACAACTAGGCTATGTGGTAGAGACACAGGAGAGGAGTGCTTCTTTGGTTATAGTTGTATACCATAAGGTGCTCTTTGATCATGGGATGAAATACAATAGAACAAAAATTAGTTGATGCTGGATAGTAAACAATGCCGAAAATACATTTGTGCAACGACATTTTCAGAAGTAATCAAGGCACTTTCATGTAGTGGATAAATTAAAGTATTTATTGTTTAAAGCTTATGCAAAGTAGGAATTTTAAGAAACGCACCGACACTTTGCGGCTACAATAGCCTTTATCAGTGTGACGAACAACAGTGCATTCGGAAAGTATTCAGACCCCCTTGACTTTTTCCACTTTGTTACTTTACAGCCCTATTCTAAAATGGATTCAATCGTTTTTTGCCCCTCATCAATCTACAAATAATACCCCATAATGACAAAGCCAAAATAGGCGTAGAAATTGCTAATTTATAAAAAAAATAAAAACAGAAATATAACATTTACATAAGTATTCAGACCTTTTACTCAGTACTTTGTTGAAACACCTTTGGCAGCGATTACAGCCTTGAGTCTTCTTGGGTATGACGCTACAAGCTTGGCACATTTGTATTTGGGGAGTTTCTCCCATTCTTCTCTGCAGATCCTCAAGCGTTGTCAGGTTGGATGGGGAGCGAAAAACATTCCCACAGCATGACGCTGCCACCACACTTCACTGTAGGGATGGCTCCAGGTTTCCTCCAGATGTGACGCTTGACATTCAGGCCAAAGAGTTCAATCTTGGTTTCATCAGACCAGATGGTCTGAGAGTCCTTTAGGTGCCTTTTGGCAAACTCCAAGCGGGCTGTCATGTGCCTTTTACTGAGGAGTGGCTTCAGACTGGCCACTCTACCATAAAGGCCTGATTGGCAGAGTGCTGCAGAGATGGTTGTCCTTCTGGAAGGTTCTCCCATTTCCACAGAGAAACTCTGGAGCTCTGTCAGAGTGACCATTGGGTTTTTGGTCACCTCCCTGACCAAGGCCCTTCTCCCCTGATTGCTCAGTTTGGCCGGGCAGCCAGCTCTAGGGCGAGTCTTGCTGGTTCCAAACTTCTTCCATTTACGAATGGAGGCCCCTGTGTTCTTGGGGACCTTCAATGCTGCAGAAATGTTTTGGTACCCTTCCCCAGATCTGTGCCTCGACACAATCCTGTCTCGGAGCTCTACGGACAATTCCGTCGACCTCATGGCTTGGTTTTTGCTCCAACATGCACTGTCAACTGTGGGACCTTATATAGACAGGTGTGTGCCTTTCCAAGTGGTTTCTATGAGAATAGGCAGGGGCATGTTACCCTGGGTGACCAAGTTACCCTAACAGGTAGGCCTACATTATGTTCACTGTGTTTATGCACGTTTTTAAAATTCATCAATAGGATGCTAACTAGTTAAAAGACCACATTTGGGATCTAGCTAATGATTAGTCCAACAGGTTAAATGCAGATAGGCAACCCGTGCTTCAGCCCATTCATTTAAAGCCACTATAGATAAATAAATAGAGGAAACACTGTCTCACCTTTGGTAAAGTTGGTGGTGGTATCGTGGCAAACCACTCACTAAGTGTGGCTCGAACACAGTCTTGAATCTGTAATGGGGGAAAATGTAGAAAGAGTGGACTGTAAATGAATAGAAGTGTTAACAGGGTTGCTATAAACAACACCCGTGGTAACTAGGTAGGGCTTTCAATGATACCTACAGATAACTCAATTATGCTATGAAAGATTGCCAGAGATGGAAAGTATAGGATTATTTTGTACACTGCTGGCAATCGTTTTATGATTGTCCTCCATGCCGAATTAAGGCTGGCCTTCTTTAATTTACACATGACAAGTCAAGACAAGTCCTGGCTTTCTTAATTTAAAATGTCCTCATGCATCTTTGAATCTCATTCTCAGGTGAATCCTGACTCTGACAGGGCTTGCAATGTAGCCATAAATGTCAGACTACATAGCGCTAGCGTGATGTTTTCTAATGACGTAATGGGGATGGATATAGGAAAGACAACGCATGGTTGTTGAGCTAGCTAACTCGCCGAGGCCAGTTTTTCAAGCTAACGTTACAACATTATCTAGCCAGTTAGCTGACCAGCCATGATGCACTCTTTTCAAACGTCTTACATTAGCTAGCCAGTTATGACAGAGTCCAATGGTCAGTCTTACCTCTTCACTAGGTGAAGACGGACATTTTTTCTTGAGACGGCTACGGTTTACTAGATTTCCCGTGTGCAGATTCAATATCGTAGCATGGTTGAGAAGCACCTTAGCACTGGTGGTGTGAGTTTCCATGTGGTGTCCTTTGTAGTCAGTAAATGTATCGTAGTAGAACGCCCTTTTAAGCTATCCAGCAACGTATCCAGTTATTTAATTCCGCAGCTAGCGACAGGACTCACCGCGTTTCCAAACAGTGCCTCTGTGAATAAAACTGACTTGCATATGTACTGGTAGTTTATTTAGCTGGTGGAAACTAGAGCTATGAGCACGCCCACATTGTAACCGTGCGTGGTGTACAAAATCTGGCATGGATTTCTTCTTCTTCAGTGGGGTTTATCAGCGGTTGGCATCCAACGTTATGGTTCATTACCGCCATCTACTGTACTGGAGTGTGGGCCAGAGACAGAAGAAACTAAATCCTACCTGCCAACCCCGTTTCGTTTAAAAAAGATAACAAAATATTTGAGACTATATCTAATAACGTTCTACTCAATATACTCTTTAAACTAATTTCCTGTATCCCCTTCTCCCTCATACTAGATCTCATTCTCTCTCTTTCCCTCTGATACTGCCCACGCTGTAGCAATACATGCTCCACGGTCTGTTTCCTGACAATAATCACACTTTCCTGATGGATCCTTCCCTATCACATTTAATGTATTGTAATGACCCAGCTGGGTCATAAAGTAAAAGAGAGACGGGCACCAGGTGTACAGGCAGAACACAGGTTTATTCCTGAATGGGCTATTGTTCAGGCCACAGCCCACGCCGCTAAACCTCGAACGTACACAAATTTAACATGTCAAGTTAAGGGTCCCGAACAGAAGAGAGAGAGATGAGACCGTAACCCCTATTTAAGCATTCCAAAACCCCGCGGGATTACCCATCATACCCCCCCCCCCCCCCCCCCCCCCAACCTTTCCATCTGTCCTGGCATATTTAACCCCTGCTAGCACCCATGAGAACGATAACACACCCACGAACACAGAACACAATACCGTGTCGTTACAGTATTATTCAACTGGCTGTGTCCCACCCTTAATGTTGTAAAATAGCCTCCTCTGCCTTGCTCATTGAAACTTCAACATCCCCACTACTAAGTGCTTGTTTAGCCTGTTCATCTACTGCCTCGTTCCCCTCCACCCCCACATGGGCTGGGACCCAAGTAAATCTTATCTGAATACCCATCTGTTTAATCATGCCATGGGTTTGTAGCACCTCATAAAGCAGGTATTGTCTGCTACATGAGCTAAAGGACTAGAAACACATTAACACTGCACATGAATCAGAGCAAATAACTACTCTGTCTTGTTTGACTTCCTCCACCCACTGTAAAGCCAACAGCATGCCATCAGCTCCGCCGTATATACAGCCAGATTATCTGTAATACGTTTCCTGACTTCCGCCCCACATTCTTGCACTACAAATGCTGACTCAGCACGTCCTGTCCTTGGATCTTTTGAACCATCTAACATGGCCACAAAATCCCGATACACAGTTTCCAGACGTCTCTTAAAGAAATCAGCTGGATCAACACCCTCCCTATCTTTCTGTAGTCTCTCCAACACTTCTAGATCAACTACTGGAGGTGGGAGTAACGGCATACATTTCTATGGGATTTAGCGCCCCTATGTTGTTACAGCTCAGTACTGTACTGACAATTGTAATGTACATCAATCATGACTCAGCTTGTTTCAAATGACAATATATATTTTTTAATTCAACATGAATATCACCACCGGAAACCAGGTTTCCATCCAACCTTTTTATGCTTAGTAAAGTACATGTCGGGTAAAAAATGTGACAGGCCTGATGGAAACATAATATTTTTCGGTAAACTTTCCAAATGTCGACAACAGCAAAAAAAAATACGCTAAACAAGGTGGGATCTTTTTGTTTCGGTAAAATGAATTATGCAAAATGTGTCGGTGGAAACGTTTTATTTGCAAATATTTATATAATCTCCATCATATGGAAGTAAACTTGGAGTCACGCGATGACATGTTGTGTGGTCCTCCCACTACGACTCACCGGGAAAGCATGCCGTTTATTAGGTTACAGATTAAATCAATTATGATGAACTTCACAGGTTGATGAAAGTGCAAGGTGATTAACCTTTCCAATAAATATCGAGGGTCTTATTCTGGTGACATGATAATCGATGCTTGGCTGCCGTTTGACATAACAATAATCTCATAATGTAGGCTATACTCTGAGTATAGCATGATATGTGAAACCTATGCTGTCATTTAGTCACTAGGTTAAGAAAATTACAATGTTTGGAACCTTAAACAACTAAAAACAACCCGACAACCGAAAAACACTTCCGGGTCCGTTTATTTACTTACATCGCTCAAAACCACTTTTTGTTGATAACTCGGCGAAACGTGGTCGGACTGGGCAGTTTTTTATTGTTGCATGGAGCTCGTCCTCCACATTAGGAACGTGCCAACCGCACTACGTCATTCTAGCTTCTAAGTTATCTGAGAAAATGGCCGTGTTACTTTCTCTCCTACAAAACATTAAGGACACCTGCTCTTTCCATGACATAGACAGACCAGGTGAAAGCTATGATCCCTTATTGATGTCACTTGATAAATCCACTTCAATCTTTGTAGATGAAGGGGAGGAGACTGTAAGAATGTACCTTTTACTCCATATATTTTCCCTGACACTGTTGGAGAAAATTGTCCTTATACTTATTAAAAAACCAAAGTACTTACAGAGTTTTTGCAGAATCAAGATATACTTTATTACACAAGCAATAGAGCCGAGCTGGGCTGCAGAGCAACTAACACTCAGCTCTCAGTTTATATACAGTTCCATTCTTGCTCATTTTACATACTTCTTAGCTTAATCCCTCCCTGTTTAGTTCCTCCACCATTGTTTCCAGTTTTCACTTCTTGAGGGCTCCGCCTACTTCCTTATTTTATAATAGTGGCGAAATCTGACTTCTCTTCCTTCTATGTATTGCGTTTCTGAAAACAATAGTGGCGGGACCAAGCCCTGTCATGTAAAAATAACAGAGCCATTTCCTGGCTCTGTTCTGACCCTTTAATTGATTCTTAAACATATCAATTGATACTTAAACATGGCTTAAACGTGACAGGTCCATTTTCTGAGCCAAAATCAATTCTCAAACATATACATTTCCCACACACATAGCAGGCAGTTCTCACACATAGCAGGCCCATTCCCAGGTCCATTTCTTGGCTCTGTTCCAGGCCGCTTCCTTCTGTACCACTTAGTTTTAATGCTTGTCAAGTTGTGAATAACTATGTTTAATTTATAGTCTGAAAAGATTGAACTATGTTTAACATAGTTTAACTTATAGTCTACTGAAAAATCCCCAATAACACCCAAAAGTACTCGTTACATTTTGACAGGAAAATGGTCAAATTCACACACTTATCAAGAGAACATCCCTGGTCATCCCTACTGCCTCTGATCTGGCAGTCTCATTAAACACAAATGCTTAATTTGTAAACTATGTCTGAGTGTTGGAGTGTGCCCCTGGCTATCCGTCAATAAAAATAAAAATAAAATTGTGCCATCTGGTTTGTTTAATATAAGGAATTTGAAATGATGTATACTTTTACTTTTGATACTTATGTATATTTAAAACCAAATACTACTGGGTGACTTTCACTTTTACTTGAGTCATTTTCTATTAAGGTATCTTTACTTTAAGGATGACGATTGAGTACTTTTTCCACCACTGGTAGTAGGTGCTATGCGCCCCGGTTTGTGTCACACCTCCTTCACATAGAGTTGATCAGGCTGTTGATTGTGACCTGTGGAATGTCCCACTCCTCTTCAATGGCTGTGCGAAGTTGCTGGATATTGGCGGGAGCTGGAACACGCTGTCGTACTCGTCGATCCAGAGCATCCCAAACATGCTCAATGGGTGACATGTCTGGTGAGTATGCAGGCCATGGAAGAACTGAGACATTTTCAGCTTCCAGGAATTGTGTACAGATCCTTGCGACATAGGGCCGTGCATTATCATGATGAAACATGAGGTGATGGTGGCAGATGAATGGCACGACAATGGGCCTCAGGATCTCGTCACGGTATCTCTGTGCATTCAAATTACCATCGCTAAAATACAATTGTGTTCGTTGTCTGTAGCTTATGCCTGCCCATACCATAACCCCACCACCACCATGGGGCACTCTGTTCACAACGTTGAGATCAGCAAACAGCTCACTCACACAATGCCGTATACGTGGTCTGCGGTTGTGAGGCCAGTTGGACGTACTGCCAAATTCTCAAAAACGACATTGGTAGAGAAATTAACATTCAATTCTCTGGCAACAGCTCCGGTGGACATTCCTGGAGTCAGCATGCCAATTGCACGCTCCCTCAAAACTTGAGACATCTGTGGCATTGTGTTGTGTGACAAAATTGCACATTTTAGAGTGGCCTTTTATTGTCCTCAGCACAAGATGCACCTGTGTAAGGTTTAATCCGTTTCTTGATATCCCACACCTGTCAGGTGGATAGATTATCTTGGCAAAGGAGAAATGCTCACTAACAGGGATGTAAACAAATTTTAGCACCAAATTTGAGAGATTTTGGTGCATATGGAGAATTTTGGGGATCTTTTATTTCAGCTCATGAAACATGGGACCAACATTTGCATGTTCAGTTTATATTTTTGTTCAGTGTACTTAAGTAAAAATACTTTAAAGTATTACTTAAGTTGTATTTTGGGGTATCTTCTTTACTATTTATATGTTTTACAACTTTTACTTCACTACATCCCTAAAGAAAATAATGTATTATCGCTGACACCCAAAGGTAGTCTTTACATTTTGAATTCTGTCAAATTCTTGCACTTTTCAAGAGATAATCCCTGGTCATCTCTACGGCCTCTGATCTGGTGGACTCACTAAACACACATGCTTCGTTTGTAAATTATGTCTGAGTGTTGGAGTGTGCCCCTGGCTATCCCTAAATTAAAAATACAAGAAACTGGTGCCTTCTAGTTTGCTTAATATAAGGAATTTGAAATGATCTATACTGTTACTTTTGATACTTAAGTATATTCTAGCAATTCCATTTACTTTTGATACTTAAGTATATTTAAAACCAAACACTTTTAGACTTTTACTCAAGTAGTATTTTACTGGGTGACTTTCACCTTTACTTGAGTCATTTTCTATTAAGGTATCTTTATTTTTACTCAAGTACATTTACATTTTAGTCATTTAGCAGACGCTCTTATCCAGAGCGATTTACAGTTGGTGAGTGCATACATTTTTTAGTTGTTCATACCAGTCACTATGTATGACAATTGTGTACTTTTTTCACCACTGGAAGCATTGGAGTCAACATGGGCAAGCATCCCTGTCGCACCTTGTAGACGAATTGAGGCTGTTCTGAGGGAAAAAGGGGGGCTGCAACTCAATATTATGGTGTCTCTCTGTGCGCTCTAGCCAATAGCGAGCAGATAGCGCTGTTGGCATGAGCGCATGTGCCAATACCAGTGTGCACACTCGCTATATAATGCAATTTATTTTGTGAGAAAACCAACAGTAGAGTTGAAAATTCGATGCAAAACCATTTAACTTGTATTTTTTATACAGTGCATGGGGAATTTAACCGCAAAAGGTATTTTATGTCCAATATGTCATCACGCACAGCCTTTTATCTGCAACAAGTCAATTTGATGGAAACGCATCTCTGGTGGGAAAATGCGCGTATTGTTTTTATGCGGATTTTAGAATATTCGCATGAAAATCTGTCGCCAATTGGATGTAAACCTAGCTACTGACCCTGATCAAAGAGTACACATGGGTCATTCTACAGATTCGGTGACATTTCAGTATTGTCAGTGTCCCAAGATGTACTAGTGTTATAACTTGTCAGAACATTTATCAAACTACACTTAAATTACAACATTTCAAAGTTTTACATGTTTTTAATATGGAGTAGAGAATATGATTTTAAACAGAGATGAATTTCAATACTTATATGTTTGCTTTTCTTAGGAGTATTAAGAATTTCGCCTGTCCCTATTGACCATCATGCAAATGGCGTGACTCATTTTGAGTACACAGTGTTAAATAATAATGCTTTTTTTTTGTTAAATTAATTGTATATGCCCCCTTATTATGCATAATCCATTTTCTCAGCATAAGACATTTTATTTTCTGAGAAATTCAGGCTTTTACCCCTGTCCTTGTATTTCTTTCAACCCCGTAACGCAACAATACCCCCACTCACAATTAAATAATGGTTTGATCCTGTGGACATCATTTATGAGGAAGTGACATCATACAAGTCTTCAGAGAAGCCTGGTGTGACAAGTGGTAAGCTGCTCTCTCACTTTTTATAAATATTTCATGTTTTTTAAGCACATATGGGCTTTGTCAATCTCAGGTATTCAACTCTGTTGGGGGGGGGGGGGGAATTCATAGTTAAGATTTTACCAAGAATTGTTTTTATAGCTATGAAGTATAACAATGTATTTTGTTGAATAAGGCCATGTGGCACACTGCTAGCTGCTAGCATCCCGAATTAGCAACAGATTAGCACAAAATCTTCAACCCCATCACATTTTTCAATGTTACGGGGTTGAATGGCTGTTACAGGGTTGAATAGCTGTTAAATCTTAGCAATATTTAATGTATATTGCTTAATACCAATCATATTTTCTTGTTGAATGTTTGTTGTTTACGGTTTTACAGTATCAACTAAAAGTACGAGGAATTTTTGAAAATAATAACTTTAAAAAAGTGACAATTAATTTGTTCTCTCTCCTATATACATTGACATATTTAGGAGTATTATCTGCAAGTTCATGTTCATTTTACTACATAGTGATTAAAAGGATACAATATTTAGTCTTGAAGAGTAAGCAGGTCATTGACTTGACCTTGACCTACAATTTCAGATTCAACAATGGAAAAAACAGCAGCAGAAAGGAAACACACATAGAGAGGAAGGTGAGGGACATCCGCGCGCCGGTGGTCAGGTAATTCTCCTGGAAATGTAAGATCTTTAAGACACGAGGTGGTGGTGGTCATGGACACACAATCAACAGAAAATAAAGTTTTGTTGCTTTAAAGCATAATTTGGTAATGCATAAAAAGACTAGAGAATGTAAATGAAGACTAGTCTAAAAAGACATACAGTATACTGCCTTGGCAACTGGTGCGTGAGGGGTTCATGTTCACTAGCCGACTGGTTTGTACTGACATATTTAGGAGTATTATCTGCAAGTTCACGTTCATTTTACTACATAGTGATTAAAAGGATACAGTAATTAGTTTTGGAGAGTAAACTGGTCATTGACTTGACCTTGACCTACAATTTCAGATTCAACAATGGCAAAAACAGCAGCAGAAAGGCAAAGATTTGCCAGTAGTTCCATCCACAATGCGGATCCACCAAGTTGTTTGTGTGGCTGCAAGGCAAATTGCCTACCGTGATGTAAGCTGTATGTGCACAGTCCACAACAAGAAACTGGAATGCCAGTGTTTCAATACACAACATTTCACATTTACCCCTAAAGTTACATCAGTCGTGTCACAGAGGGAGGTTGATTGGGCAAATCCAGACATATGCGGGAAATGGTGCGTGGCCAAATATGATGACGATTTCTATCCCGGAATAATTCTAGCCACAGATGAATCCCATGTGCAGGTCAAATGCATGTGCTGTGCTGGACCAAATAGGTACTTCTGGCCACTTCTTGATGATATCCTGTGGTATCCATTTGAGGACATCTTGGAACACATTGATCCCCCTAAACCGGTGACTTCTAGGCACATGGAAATACAGAAGGAAGTGTGGGCTAGGCTCTCTCAGTAAAAATGGTGAACAAACTGTAGGCTTACCTATAGGTTATTAATGTTAAGATGTTTGCTTAATGTTCAAACATTCAAACAACACAGACATTCCTGCCATTACTCTGGATATTTCTATGAAATCAATGAAATGTTGTAACTGTTGTTAGTTTATTAATGTGTTTTAATCTGTCTAGATTTCATCTTGATTGTTTAAACTTTAAAAGCTATGTTGACAGTAGTTTAAAATGTTAAAAAATGGCAACATGTGACCTATATAGGTTATCAATGTTAAGATGTTTGCTCAATGTTCAAACAGACTCCTGCCATTATCAGATGGATATTTTTATGAAATCAATGAAATGTTGTTACTGTTATTAGTTCATTAATGTGTTTTACTCTGTCTAGCTTTCATCTAGATTCTTTAGATTTTAAAAGCTATGTTGACAGTAGGTTTAAAAATGTTTAAAAAATGGCAACATGTTAGTGATCTCAAAAGATAAAACATATGACACGTGATGCTTTTCACTCAACCCTGTTACATGATTTTCAACCCTGTTGCAGTGCATTCATCCCTGTTACGAGATTATTTTTTTTACATTTTTGTATTAAATACACAAAATATAACATCAATAGTGTTTTTATTGTGTGTATTAAATCAGGGTAAATAAGGCTATTTCAATTTTGTCAGGAATTACGCAGCATTCTTGCACATTTCTTGCGAAAATGTGGAGTTAGATTAGACATTTCTTCATCGTAAACTGGAAAGGATGGTGCTGGTCAGTTTTTCTTGATTTTCTCTTTAATTACAATATGCCATTATTTACAAGGGACATCTAAACTGTGAGATTATGCCAGAAGCTGATCTCAAGCTTATTGGAAAAATGAATAGTTGAATAACAAAATGACTGTGACGGGGTTGAATTAAATTGGGACTTGTTTGAGAAAATAATACAGAATAATAACTTAATACTCTACATTGAGATGGGAAAAGGTATTTTCTATCAAGTACACACATTACTTTGTCACATCAAATAAAAAAAAGCTTAAGATTTTAATGTTCATTGTTTCATCCTCCTCAATCACAAAAGGCACCGAATCTGTAGAATGACCCACATACAGAAGACAGTTTTGGCAATAAAAAGTCTAAATCACAACAACAAAAAACAACATTACCATTATTGTTTGACATTCTAATTGCAAACCAATTAGCATTTTGTGTGTGATTAATAATTAAATAAACAATATGTGATTCAATAATATCTATAATCAAAAGGAGAGTTATATTAATTCAGGCAAAGTAGCCCCACAGAAATATGTTGATAGTGAGTAGAATGAGGGCGTTGGCATTGCAGACATTCCGCCAGATTGGTTCTTCCTCAATGCTGGTCAGTTTTAACTCCAATGCATGTTTCTCCTCCAGGGTTAACTCTTTCTTCTCAGGCCCAGACATCCCACACAGCCACATTCCCGTGCGCTTCCAGCACGGCCTGTCCTCCACAGCAGCCTCCTCCCCAACGCTGGGGTCAGGTGTTGTGGGTGGTGTCCTGGGCTTTGTGGTCCATGGGTCATCGAAGTCAATGCGCGGCTCCTTGCTGTGTCTTGTCCACCATGTCAGGCGATGGAGCTGCAGGGGGATTGAAGAGGGGAAGAATGAATAGGTTATAAAATGTCATAAAACCTGTACATGTTATTTTCTTTTAACTTAAATGAATCCCATAAGTGACACCATATATTTTGCAAGTCAGTTTAATGTTTATGATGAGTAAATGTGGAACTCTTACATGGTGCTCTGGAATGGCCGGAGTGCAGAGGCTGACAGCAGTGATGACCAGGCCAGTGAGAGCCAGGAGGATGAGAGCAAAGTACAGGTAGTGGACATCCCTGATGAAGGCTGGCCGTATGTCCATCTCTCCACAGGATGGGGTTCCATACACAAACACCAGCACCATCTGCACCAAGCCAACAGCAAGGCCCACGATCAGACCCCAGAAGGCTCCCTGTATTAACAGTCACCCACATTGAACGCACACACACAAAGGGACAGTGTTTTATATCGAATCTTAACAATGTGCTTTATGACAAACACACAACAATGTGATGAAACCCTTGATCTGACCTGCTCATTGACACGCCTCCAGAAGATCGCCATGATGAAGACAGCAGTGATGGGAGGAGCCAGGTAGCTGGTGATGGCCTGGATGTAGTCAAACAGCTGTCCACTGTTGGCTGACTGGATGATGGGGATCCACAGGATGCTGAGCACCACCATCACTAAGATGAACACCCTGCAGGTGATGAGCACAGACAGGAGGTGAGGGTTCTTACGGTTTAAAGTATTGTATAATGAATCCTACATAGGTTACTTTTGTTAGGAATCGTTGCCTTACTAAAAGTGTTTTAATTTAGAAAACCCCATGTCATGTTTTCTAGTATGTAAATGTAACAGTATTGAGTATATACAGCATTGGACTTTGGACCAGAGGTCATGGGTTTGGATTATGGGGCAGGGAAACTTAATTTACCTCCATAAAATAGACATCTTAATGGGATATATACCTTAAGTCTAGCATTCAAAACAAGACAATGTTTGAAACAGGGAATTCCCGCAAGACAAATAATGCTTGCTCCATTCAACTTTTATTATTGTTTGAGAAAAAAATGATATCACTTGTTATTTGGGTAAAAAATGTTTTGTCCGGACATACTTTGGTTTTTATGTGGGTGAAAATGAAAATTCTTGACACTTTTATTGAGCTGTATAGATTTTGTATAATGTCCTCTGAGGTTTAGTTATGTGATTTTATACTAAGCTTATTATTCACAGGGGACTCAAAGGAATTGTAGCACAAAATAGAACAGTGCCTGGAGCAAACTAAAGCAGAACCTGAAAAAGTTGGTCATGTTTAGACACAGCTATTGTCAAGCAACTGGCTTTGACTCATGTTTAGAAGACATTGCTGTACATTTCTTTAACAGGTAGAGTGGCATTACCTACCTGCCCACTACCATGAGTTCTGGCTCGGAGGCCTGTGGCCGGACCCTCTGCCAGATGTCCATGGTGAACAGGGTGCTGCTACTGTTGAAGATGGAGGTCAGAGAGGACATGAGGGCAGCCATCATTACTGCAATCATCAACCCCCGCATGCCTTGAGGGGACAGAGTGAGATTGGGCGAGTCAGATTTAAAATACAAACATCCTCATAGAATTACATAGACACACATACAGTGATATCACATTTTAACCTTTGCAAAAATAGGATCAATAGTAAGTGTGTTTTCAGTTTGTTGACGCGTGTGTGCGGATGTCTTACCAACAGGCATAAGTTCTACCACTAGTTTAGGGTAGGCAATATTGGAGCAGCCCACAGTGGCTCCACAGATTCTTTGGCACTCAATGGGGTCAACACAGCCTACCTCATCTGCAGACATAAAGAGACAATATAGTAATACACAGTACATTAACATACTATAAAACTTCTAAACAAGGGCAATACCATTGTTGTATATTGGATTTAGTATAGACAAAGTGAGAACTCACTTGGGTAAAGTGCTCTACTGATCATGCCAGGCATCACGATAAAGAACATAGGCAGGACCTTTAGGTAACCTCCCAGCACAGAGCCTCCTTTGGCATGGGACAGGTTCTTGGCTGAGAGAGACCTCTGCACTATCACCTGGAGCAGGTTAGGACAAGGTCAATTACGTGAGGAAATTTCCTGCCTCACCAAAAATGTGAGATTCTTTGTAATGGTCTACTGTAAAATCTAAATAATAGGTCAAAATAACACATTAGACTTGACTATAATACAAAAGGCAAGTCAACTACAAAAGTGCCATTTCATACCTGGTCAGCGCACCACACCCAGGTGGCCAGCACCGTGAGGCCAAACAGCAGGCCAGGCCAGGGCAGGTCCCCCGTCACTGGGTCTCTGAAGATGTGGAAGGCATCGGACCGGGGGAGGTGACATGTAGTGTTGGGCACAGTCAATATGGGGATGGCCTCCTTGTATTGCTCCTGCAGACCCTCATACCATCCCACTTTGTCAAACGCTAAAGAATATAAAGTTCAAGGGTCAGTTTGAAAATGAATACAATGAATCATCCAATCATTAATTAATAAAGTAATTATATACTATGATACTAAAGTAGTTTTAGACAAAATCATATTTAGGGGTGTATACTGTATACCGATGAACTTATACTATAGAAAACATAAAAACAGTACCTATGAACATGAGTGCGAATGCGCCTATCACCATGATGACCGTCTGGACAGCATCTGTATAGATAACTGCTGTCAGCCCCCCTGGAATCAGTAACAGCCAATGGTAATCAATAACAAATAATCCCATGTAATGAATGAATAAATGACTGTGGTAGATTATGATGAAAAGTTACCAGCTATAGTGTAGAGGGCAGTTACTAGAAGAAGCACCACTGTGGAGAGATAGAGGTCCCAGCCCAGGGACACTTGAATGAACAGAGCGCCAGAGAAGATGTCTGTCTGTCAGCAGAGGTAACAAGAATATTCAACAAACACCCTGAATTCCTTTACTTAAAATATTAGATTTAAAAAAAAAGAGAGAATCGTACTGATATCTTGGTGAAAATATAGAGGAGGAGGGAGAGAACACTCATATAGATTCTGATGCGCTGGCCCCCAAACCGCTTCTTCAGGTACTCTGGCATGGTTACCACACCAGCGGAGATGTAGACAGGCACAAAGATCCAACCAAGAGCAATGAGAACCCAAGCTGCCTGTGAAACATGAAACTCATAAATGGGGTATTTTATTCTAAACTGAAATACTCTAGATAGGTCTTCAAAATAAAGGGCGTCCACCTCCTGATGGAAATATTGACAAACTGTAATAACTCGATTTCCTCTCCATTGTTTATCTTCTTGGTGTTTTTTCACAATGCACTTAACATATTACTTACATTCCATTCAAACCCTCCAACAGCGATGCCTCCTGCTGCTCCAGTGCCAGCTAATCCAATTAACAAACCACTGCCAACATTACTGGACATCAGAGAGGCCCCAATCTGAGACAGCAGAACAAAATTTACATAATTGTGTCCATTTATATCTTTGGATATAGATCAACTCAGCAAAAAAAGAAATGTCCCTTTTTCAGGACCCTGTCTTTCAAAGATAATTTGTAAAAATCCAAATAACATCACAGATCTTCATTGTAAAGGGTTTAAACACTGTTTCCCATGCTTGTTCAATGAACCATAAACAATTAATGAACATGCACCTGTGGAACGGTCGTTAAGACACACAGTTATGAAAACTTAGGACACTAAAGAGGCCTTTCTACTGACTCTGAAAAACATCAAAAGAAAGATGCCCAGGGTCCCTTCTCATCTGCGTGAACGTGCCTTAGGCTTGCTGCAAGGAGGCATGAAGACTGCAGACGTGGCCAGGGCAATAAATTGCAATGTCCGTACTGTGAGACGCCTAAGACAGCGCTACAGGGAGACAGGACGGATAGCTGATCATCCTCGCAGTGGCAGACCAGGCGTAACAACACCTGCACGGGATCGGTACATCCGAACATCACACCTTCGGGACAGGTACAGGATGGCAACAACAACTGCCCGAGTTACACCAGGAACGCACAGTCCCTCCATCAGTGCTCAGAATGTCCGCAATAGGCTGAGAGAGGCTGGACTGAGGGCTTGTAGGCTTGTTGTGAGGCAGGTCCTCACCAAACATCACCGGCAACAACATCGCCTATGGGCACAAACCCACCGTTGCTGGACCAGACAGGACTGGCAAAAAGTGCTCTTCACTGACGAGTCGCGGTTTTGTCTCACCAGGGGTGATGGTTGGATTCGCGTTTATCGTCGAAGGAATGAGCGTTACACCGAGGACCGTACTCTGGAGCGGGAGGTGGAGGGTCCGTCATGGTCTGGGGCGGTGTGTCACAGCATCATCGGACTGAGCTTGTTGTCATTGCAGGCAATCTCAACGCTGTGCGTTACAGGGAAGACATCCTCCTCCCTCATGTGGTACACTTCCTGCAGGCTCATCCTGACATGACCCTCCAGCATGACAGTGCCACCAGCCATACTGCTCGTTCTGTGCGTGATTTCCTGCAAGACAGGAATGTCAGTGTTCTGCCATGGCCAGCGAAGAGCCCGGATCTCAATCCCATTGAGCACGTCTGGGACCTGTTGGATCGGAAGGTGAGGGCTAGGGCCATTCCCCCCAGAAATGTCCGGGAACTTGCAGGTGCCTTGGTGGAAGAGTGGGGTAACATCTCACAGCAAGAACTGGCAAATCTGGTGCAGTCCATGAGGAGGAGATGCACTGCAGTACTTAATGCAGCTGGTGGCCACACCAGATACTGACTGTTACTTTTGATTTTGACCCCCCCTTTGTTCAGGGACACGTTATTCCATTTCTGTTTTTCACGTCTGTGGAACTTGTTCAGTTTATGTCTCAGTTGTTGTATCTTGTTATGTTCTTACAAATATTTACACGTTAAGTTTCCTGAAAATAAATGCAGTTGACAGTGAGAGGACGTTTATTTTTTTGCTGAGTTGCTATTATCAGGATCAACTATTTTCAACCAATTGTTCACTGTCATTCAAAAATTGCTTTCCTAATTTCAAATAGATGATAATACTTAATAGTCTGGATCATGATTAACTTTTTCTGTAGTTGACGCATTACTCATTTCATCATTAATGTTCAGTTCAATGCATAGAGTTTATTTGAGTTCAATGCATTGAGTTCAATACCATCAACATCTCAGACTACTTACAGGCCACCATGTCATGGATCTTCCAGCCAAGAAGTATCCACCCACTGTCCCACGGTTTGCCCTGACAGAGGACTGCAATAAATAATTAATTTAAAACTATACGGTCCGTAGATATTAGTTACAGCAAAGCTTTCTCAATGACATTACTTTATACTTTATACTTATATTTAGTCAATATTGCATATATTTGAACAACATATTTTATGTGAGGAAGAATTCTGATGAATGAATCTCCACAGTACTACTTCAGTGTCAGATCATTGTACCAGTCTGCCCTCTTCATACAATGAAAACATCCACCAGGTAATAGGAGTATTTATTACTTACCCATATTCCCACAACAAGAACAAAGACGAAGTATACCACAACCACAACAATATCAAGAGCTTCCAAATGAAACTTTTCATGTAATTCAGGCACAGAAGTCGTTGTCGCAAGACTAGGTGTTGAAGTCATTTTGACAAAAACATAGAAAACCGTGTGAACTTTGAGGCTAGCATGAAGTAAGTCAATGATTAATCAGCTTATCAAGACAGTAAGGAACCCCATTCATTGGTCACATATAAACTGAAAACTCTTCAGAAATACAGTGGCTTGCGGAAGTATTCACCCCCCTTGGCATTTTTCCTATTTTGTTGCCTTACAACCTGGAATTAAAATGGATTTAATGGGGGTTTGTATCGTGTCGTACTCTGCGAATGTTGTAGAGCATGGATCGGGTCACTGCTTTGATGTTAGCGGAGAACGACAGGGTGTTGTCCAGGGTCACGCCAAGGTTCTTTGCACTCTGGGAGGAGGAAACAATGGAGTTGTCAACCGTGATGGCGAGATCATGGAGCGGGCAGTCCTTCCCCGGGAGGAAGAGCAGCTCCGTCTTGCCGAGGTCCAGCTTGAGGTGGTGATCCGACATCCACACTGATATGTCTGCCAGACATGCAGAGATGCGATTCGCCACCTGGTTATCAGAAGGGGTAAGGAGAAAATGAATTGTGTGTCGTCTGCGTAGCAATGATAGGAGAGACCATGTGCGGATATGACAGAGCCAAGTGACTTGGTGTATAGAGAGAATAGGAGAGGGCCTAGAACTGAGCCCTGGGGGACACCAGTGGTGAGAGCACGTGGTGCGGAGACAGATTCTCGCCACGCCACCTGGTAGGAGGGACCTGTCAGGTAGGACGCAATCCAAGAGTGAGCAGCGCCGGAGATGCCCAACTCGGAGAGTATTATAACAGCGCCGGAGAAGATGGCTGCCGTTTTACAGCCCTCTAACCAATTGTACTATTATGTGTGTTTTTCCGCGTTATTTGTAATTTATTTTGTACATAATGTTTCTGCCATCGTCTCTTATAACCAAAAAGAGCTTCTGGATATCAGGACAGCGATTACTCACCTCGTATTGGACGAAGATTTTTTCTTCAACGAGGCGGCCGCAAAGGATATCATACAGACACCCGACAAGGCCCAAATCCCCGTCATTCGCGTGAGGAAGATACGGAGATATCGTGGACGTAGATCGGGGTGCCTTGTAAGGATCCGACGGCGAGCGAGTAAACTGCCTCTTCCATCAATCCTATTAGCCAATCTTCAATCATTGGATAACAAATTGGATGACCTAAGATTACGGTTATCCTACCAACGGGACATTAAAAACTGTAATATCTTATGTTTCACCGAGTCGTGGCTGAACGACGACATGGATAACACACAGCTAGCGGGCTATACGCTACATCGGCAGGATAGAACGGCTGACTCCGGTAAGACAAGGGGTGGCGGTCTGTGTATATTTGTAAACAACAGCTGGTGCACAAAATCAAATACTAAGGAAGTCTCAAGGTTTTGCTCGCCTGAGGTAGAGTATCTTATGATAAGCTGTAGACCACACTATTTACCAAGAGAGTTTTCATCTATATTTTTCATAGCTGTCTATTTACCACCACAAACCAATGCTGGCATTAAGATTGCACTGAATTAGTTGTACAAGGCCATAAATCAACAGGAAAAAGCTCATCCAGATGCAGCGCTCCTAGTGGCCGGGGACTTTAATGCAGGGAAACTTAAATCCGTTCTACCTAATTTCTGTTTCAAGCAGACCACCATAGTCCCCGTGCCCAAGGACTCTAAGATAACCTGCCTAAATGACTACCGACCCGTAGCACTGACGTCTGTAGCCATGAAGTGCTTTGAAAGGCTGGTCATGGCTCACATCAACAGCATTATCCCAGAAACCCTAGACCCACTCCAATTTGCATACCGCCCCAACAGATCCACAGATGATGCAATCTCTATTGCACTCCACACTGCCCTTTCCCACCTGGACAAGAGGAACACCTACGTGAGAATGCAATTCATTGACTACAGCTCAGCATTTAACACCATAGTGCCCTCTAAGCTCATCACTAAGCTAAGGATCCTGGGACTAAACACCTCCCTCTGCAACTGGATCCAGGACTTCCTGACGGGCCGCCCCCAGGTGGTAAGGGTAGGTAACAACACATCTGCCACACTGATCCTCAACACGGGGGCCCCTCAGGGGTGCGTGCTCAGTCCCCTCCTGTACTCTCTGTTCACCCATGACTGCATGGCCAGGCACGACTCCAACACCATCATTAAGTTTGCCGACGACACAACAGTGGTAGGCCTGATCACCGACAACGATGAGACAGCCTATAGGGAGGAGGTCAGAGACCTGGCAGTGTGGTGCCAGGACAACAACCTCTCCCTCAACGTGACCAAGACAAAGGAGATGATTGTGGACTACAGGAAAAAGAGGACTGAGCACGCCCCCATTCTCACCGACGGGGCTGTAGTGGAACAGGTTGAGAGCTTCAAGTTCCTTGGTGTCCACATCACCAACGAACTATCATGGTCCAAACACACCAAGACAGTCGTGAAGAGGGCACGACAAAGCCTATTCCCCCTCAGGAGACTGAAAAGATTTGGCATGGGTCCTCAGATCCTCAAAAAATTCTGCAGCTGCACCATCGAGAGCATCCTGACTGGTTGCATCACCGCCTGGTATGGCAACTGCTTGGCCTCCGACCGCAAGGCACTACAGAGGGTAGTGCGTACGGCCCAGTACATCACTGGGGCCAAGCTTCCTGCCATCCAGGACCTCTATACCAGGCGGTGTCAGAGGAAGGCCCTCAAAATTGTCAAAGACTCCAGCCACCCTAGTCATAGACTGTTCTCTCTGCTACCGCACGGCAAGCGGTACCGGAGTGCCAAGTCTAGGTCCAAAAGACTTCTCAACAGCTTCTAGCCCCAAGCCATAAGACTCCTGAACAGCTAATCATGGCTACCCGGACTATTTGCACTGTCCCCCCACCCCATCCTTTTTACGCTGCTGCTCCTCTGTTAATTATTTATGCATAGTCACTTTAACTCTACCCACATGTACATATTACTTCAACTACCTCAACTAGCCGGTGCCCCCGCACATTGACTCTGCACCGGTACCCCCCTGTATATATATCCTCCCTACTGTTATTTTATTTTACTTCTGCTCTTTTTTTCTCAACACTTTTTTTGTTGTTGTTTTATTTTTACTTTTTTTGTTAAAAATAAATGCACTGTTGGTTAAGGGCTGTAAGTAAGCATTTCACTGTAATGTCTGCACCTGTTGTATTCGGCGCATGTGACCAATAAAATTTGATTTGATTTGATTTGGAGAGGAGGATCTGATGGTTCACAGTATCAAAGGCAGCGGATAGGTCTAGAAGGATAAGAGCAGAGGAGAGAGAGTTAGCTTTAGCAGTGCGGAGAGCCTCCATGACACAGAGAAGAGCAGTCTTAGTTGAATGACCAGTCTTGATGCTGCCACCACCATGCTTCACTGTGGGGATGGTGTTCTCGGGGTGATGAGAGGTGTTGGGTTTGCGCCAGACATAGTGTTTTCCTTGATGGCCAAAAAGCTCAATTTGAGTCTCATCTGACCAGAGTACCTTCTTCCATATGTTTGGGGAGTCTCCCACATGCCTTTTGGCAAACACCAAACGTTGTTGCTTATTTTTTTCTTTAAGCAATGGCTTTTTCTCTTCCGTAAAGCCCAGCTCTGTGGAGTGTATGGCTTAAAGTGGTCCTATGGACAGATACCCCAATCTCCGCTGTGGAGCTTTGCAGCTCCTTCAGGTTTATCCTTGGTCTCTTTGTTAACTCTTCGCCCTCCTTGCCTGGTCTGTGAGTTTTGGTGGGCGGCCCTCTCTTGGCAGGTTTGTTGTGGTGCCATATTCTTTCCGTTTTTTAAATAATGGATTTAGTGGTGCTCTGTGGGACGTTCAAATCTTCTGACATTTTTTTATAACCCAACCCTGATCTGTACTTCTCCACAACTTTGTCCCTGACCTTGTTTGGAGAGCTCCTTGGTCTTCATGGTGCAGCTTGCTTAGTGGTGTTGCAGACTGGTGCCTTTCAGAACAGGTGTATATATACTGAGATCAGGTGACAGATCATGTGACACTTAAATTGCACACAGGTGGACTTTATTTAACTAATTATGTGACTTCTGAAGGTAATTGGTTGCACCAGATTTTATTTAGGGGTTTCATAGCAAAGGGGGTGAATACATATGCACGCACCACTTTTCGGTTATTTATTTTGTATAATTTTTTGAAACAAGTTATTTTTTTCATTTCACTTCACCAATTTGGACTATTTTGTGTGTATCCATTACATGAAATCCAAATATAAATCCATTTAAATTACAGGTTGTAATGCAACAAAATAGGAAAAACGCCAAGGGGGATGAATACTTTTGCAAGGCACTGTACCTGTCAGATTGTAAAGGATGCTTTCTGGAAAGATTTTGGTGGTGACATTTTCCTAAAATCCATAGGATGTATACAGTGAGGGAAAATAGTATTTGATCCCCTGCTGATTTTGTACGTTTGCCCACTGACAAATAAATGATCAGTCTATAATTTTAATGGTAGGTTTATTTGAACAGTGAGAGACAGAATAACAACAAAAAAATCCAGAAAAACGCATGTCAAAAATGTTATAAATTGATTTGCATTTTAATGAGGGAAATAAGTATTTGACCCCCTCTCAATCAGAAATATTTCTGGCTCCCAGGTGTCTTTTATACAGGTAACGAGCTGAGATTAGGAGCACACTCTTAAAGGGAGTGCTCCTAATCTCATCTTGTTACCTGTATAAAAGACACCTGTCCACAGAAGCAATCAATCAATCAGATTCCAAACTCTCCACCATGGCCAAGACCAAAGAGCTCTCCAAGGATGTCAGGGACATGATTGTAGACCTACACAAGGCTGGAATGGGCTACAAGACCATCGCCAAGCAGCTTGGTGAGAAGGTGACAACAGTTGGTGCGATTATTCGCAAATGGAAGAAACACAAAAGACCTGTCAATCTCCCTCGGCCTGGGGCTCCATGCAAGATCTCACCTCGTGGAGTTGCAATGATCATGAGAACGGTGAGGAATCAGCCCAGAACTACACGGGAGGATCTTGTCAATGATCTCAAGGCAGCTGGGACCATAGTCACCAAGAAAACAATTGGTAACACACTACTCCGTGAAGGACTGAAATCCTGCAGCGCCCACAAGGTCCCCCTGCTCAAGAAAGCACATATACAGGCCCGTCTGAAGTTTGCCAATGAACATCTGAATGATTCAGAGGAGAACTGGGTGAAAGTGTTGTGGTCAGTTGAGACCAAAATCGAGCTCTTTGGTATCAACTCAACTCGCCGTGTTTGGAGGAGGAGGAATGCTGCCTATGACTCCAAGAACACCATCCCCACCGTCAAACATGGAGGTGGAAACATTATGCTTTGGGGGTGTTTTTCTGCTAAGGGGATAGGACAACTTCACCGCATCAAAGGGACGATGGACGGGGCCATGTACTGTCAAATCTTGGGTGAGAACCTCCTTCCCTCAGCCAGGGTATTGAAAATGGGTCGTGGATGGGTATTCCAGCATGACAATGACCCAAAACACACGGCCAAGGCAAAAAAGGAGTGGCTCAAGAAGAACACATTAAGGTCCTGGAGTGGCCTAGCCAGTCTCCAGACCTTAATCCCATAGAAAATCTGTGGAGGGAGCTGAAGGTTCGAATTGCCAAACGTCAGCCTTGAAACCTTAATGACTTGGAGAAGATCTGCAAAGAGGAGTGGGACAAAATCCCTCCTGAGATGTGTGCAAACCTCGTGGCCAACTACAAGAAACGGCTGACCTCTGTGATTGCCAACAAGGATTTTGCCACCAAGTACTAAGTCATGTTTTGCAGAGGGGTCAAATACTTATTTCCCTCATTAAAATGCAAATCAATTTATAACATTTTTGACATGCGTTTTTCTGGATTTTGTTGTTGTTATTCTGTCTCTCACTGTTCAAATAAACCTACCATTAAAATTATAGACTGATCATTTCTTTGTCAGTGGGCAAACGTACAAAATCAGCAGGGGATCAAATACTTTTTTCCCTCACTGTATGTGTGTGCTGTATGCTCTGTTCAACAGCGATCAAACATACTGACTATTATGCATGTCCTTATATGGTCACAAAATTATTTCTGTAGTGAATAAAACTACAAGTTATCATTCAGATCAAATTTATTACCAATATGGGATAAAGATGATGTACATCTACAAATAATATGATATGCATTTTTTTGGTATATATACATTCATGGCAGAACAGTAAAGTTAAATAGCTACAACAACAGGCTCTATCACTTCTTCTTCCAAAACTTGATGTAATCATCAGCTTTGAAATCAACCTCGAATTCCACCGTCCTCTGCTTAATAGCTCCCTTCTTGGGATCCCGCTTCCGCATCATGATTTTCCTTTCTTCCTCTGAGAGTGTATTTATGTCCACAGGCATCTGAAGGGATACAATACAAAATCATCACAATCAGTCTCACAATCTGTCCGAATAGCATTCAAATGTAGTATTCCTGAATAGCCAAAAGCGGCAAAAATGTATCAATCCAAAAAGGCATTCTCTCAATTTGTCTCCATTTCAAGGATGCTTACCATGAGTATCCTCTTGGGCTCCTTGTACCTAATGTTAATTGTGGAACCATCGGGTTGTATGAGCAATACAGGATACAATCTTTCATACTTCTGTCGACTGCATCGTACAATTGATGTCTTGTTGGAGTTGTGCTGGGTGGTTGCTGTGTGTAAAGTTGATGCAGGAAGGAAATGCCTCTGGGCAACCACCTCTTGTAGACATCTAAAAAGACAAAGCATTTTCAATGTTCAAATGATTAAGATCTAGAAAGGATCTAGAAACTAATATAAAAGCGTAATGCAAATGTACTCAGAAACTAGCTAGCTAGTTCATCCCAAGCTGTCAGTTATACGTGTTAGCTAGCTAGCTCTGATCCAGGGCGTTACGTGCGGCTTTAGCCTTCAATGCCCAGCATCTTCCCATTCATTCCTCCGTAGAGGATGAATATATTTGTTTGATTTTCGTTAGGCTTCAATATACACTATGACCAAAAGTATGTGGATACCTGCTTGTCGAAAATCATGGGCATTAATATGGATTTGGTCCCCCCTTTGCTGCTATAACAGCCTCCACTCTTCTGGGAAGGCCTTCCACTAGATGTTGGAACATTGCTGTGGGGACTTGCTTCCATTCAGCCACAAGAGCATTAGTGAGGTCGAGTACTGATGTTGTGCGATTAGGCCTGGCTCGCAGTCGGCGTTCCAATTCATCCCAAAGGTGTTCGATGGGGTTCAGGTCAGGGCTCTTCCACATGCAGGCCAGTCAAGTTCTTCCACACCGATTGACAAAATATTTCTGTATGGACCTCGCTTTGTGCACGGGGACATTGTCATGCTGAAACAGGAAAGGGCCTTCCCCAAACTGTTGCCACAAAGTTGGAAGCACAGAATTGTCTAGAATGTCATTGTATGCTGCAGTGTTAAGATTTCCCTTCACTGGAACTAAGAGGCTTAGGCCGAACCATGAAAAACAGCCACAGACCATTATTCCTCCTCCACCAAACTTTACAGTTGGCACTATGCATTCGGGCAGGTAGCGTTCTCCTGGCATCCACCAAACCCAGATTCGTCCTGCCAGATGGTGAAGCGTGATTCATCACTCCTGAGAGCGTGTTTCCACTGCTCCAGAGTCCAATGGCGGTGGGCTTTACACCACTCCAGCCGACGCTTGGCATTGCGCATGGTGTTCTTAGGCTTGGTGCAGCTGCTCGGCCGTGGAAACCCATTTCATGAAGCTCCCGACGAACAGTTATTGTGCTGACGTTGCTTCCAGAGGCAGTTTGGAACTCGGTAGTGAGTGTTGCAACCGAGGACAGACGCTTCAGCACTCGGCGGTCCAGTTCTGTGAACTTGTGTGGCCTACCACTTCGCGGCTGAGCCGTTGTTGCTCCTAGATGTTTCCATTCACAATAACAGCACTTACAGTTGACCGGGGCAGCTCTATCAGGTCAGAAATTTGACAAACTGACTTGTTGGAAAGGTGGCATCCTATGACGGTGCCACGTTGAAAGTCACTGAGCTCTTCAGTAAGGCCATTCTACTGCCAATGTTTGTCTATGGAGATTGCATGGCTGTGTGCTCGATTTTATAGACCTGTCAGCAACAGGTGTGGCTGAAATAGCTGAATCCACTAATTTGAAGGGGTGTCCACATACTTTTGTATATATAGTGTACTTTCGTTACTCAGTGCTGGCAAACTTTTCTCTCTATGCGCAAGTCGTTGTTTCTCCGAAATAAACCACTTTTAGTAGCAATGATATCCTTCGCCACTGTCTTTGATTAAAGCAGCAATCAGCATTTGAAACAATAACAAAGTGTCCTCCCCACCCATTTTGGTAAAAAGCTGAGGGATAGGGCTCTCAAATTCATAGACAGGGCTATGGATGGACAATCCATTATATAAAAATAATAGTTTTAAGCATATTTTGAGGCTATATATTGTTTGTTTACATTTGCTTTGTTTGCAAACATTGGAGTGAAACAAACTTATAGTTTGGGTTCTGATGGGGTACAACAGTTGAACTAAGCTCATGAGACATTTATAAGTTATATTCTTCAAGAATCAAATGGGTACATTTCATTAAATCAGTAGTCCAAAAATGGATGAAGCTACTGCAGACTAAAACAAATAAATCAGATGACATATTTAAGGAGAGCATATCAATATACAATCCCGAAATTGGTTCCTGCATGAACCGCCCCCCTTAAGCACCCCATTGGTTCCTGCATGAACGCCTACCTTCGAGCACGACATCTGCATGCTTGTGTGACACTTTTGAATGTGGGTCAAAAGGGAAATAAAAGTATTATCTGGTCACTGGTAGACAGTGTCCTTCGCTACCGCCTACCGAACACCTGCCCTCACGGTTGTTTAATATGGGAAAACAGTTCCCGACAGGCGGGAGGCTGGAGCGACACACCGTGTGCTACTGTCGTCCCCACCTGCTGTACCCGAGAACACCGTGCCCGACAGGCGTGGGCCAAGGACACTGTCTGTTAGTTGGCGACACCCTGTGCTAGTTTGCACACGCTGTCGCCCCGCCTGCTGTGTACCGGAATGGTGAAGTCGCTTCCGGATACGGTAGACTCCTCAACCTCACCACTATGGAAAGATGCAGAGCATTGAAGAAGGCTCAAGCCGTACGTAACGCACTGGACCAGAGCTGCTAGCTAACGTGCGTTCAATTGCATTTCAAAACCAACGGGTAGTTTATTTACCTGTTTAAAACTCTCGTCGACGTCCATACTTTCAGTAGGGCCATGTCGGATTTTAGCGTTTTTATCAACGAAACATACAATTTGTTTGGTATGTTATTTATCTCGCTATAAAACGTTACGTTTTTAGAGAAGTCATGCGGAGTTGTCCGGTAAATAAACGACGTCAGGGAACAATTACCAAACAAATAGTTCCTACTTGTGATATCCTGTGTGCGAATACGGTCACTGGTTTGAATTAAATCAAATGTCAACCTTTCACAACAATTTAATATATTTGAGCTTATTAAAGAAGATGAATTATCAACTTCATGCATAAATGTATACATTATAACTATAATTTATTCCCAGTAATAGTAATATTATCTGTATGTGTGTAGTTCAGTCCTCCTGGGATGTTTGTTGGCAGGGAACTACAGCTTGAGGAGCCGGCTGGTAATGCCAAAGACAATAAAGTATGAAGATAGGCAGAAACTAGCCTGAGTACCAGTTCGACTCCTTGCCACCCCTTGTCATTGCCAATGAGACTTTCGGCAATCTCAACGTTCAATATAGCACGCCAGTTTGTAGTCCTAAAACCCGGAAATAAATTACCTCTGGTTCGTTCAGCCATCCCATGGGATTTTATTTTTTCCCACCTTTATTTAATCAGGGAAGCCAGTTGAGAACAAGTTCTCATTTACAACTGCGACCTGGCAAAGATAAAGCAAAGCAGTGCGATAAAAACAACAACAACACAGTGATACATATGGGATAAACAAAACATACAGTCAAAAACACAATAGAAAAATAGAACATGTATATACAGTGTGTGCAAATGTAGTAAGTTATGGAGGTAAGGCAATACATAGGCCATAGTGCAAAATAATTACAAGTTAGTATTAACACTGGAACGATAGATGTGCAGAAGATGATGTGCAAATAGAGATTGTGCGGTGCAAATGAGCAAAATAAATAGCAATATGAGGATGAGGTAGTTGGGTGGGCTAATTACAGATGGGCTGTGTACAGGTGCAGTGATCGGTAAGCTGCTCTGACAACTGATGCTTAAAGTTAGTGAGGGAGAGAAGAGTCTCCAGTTCAGAGATTTTTGCAGTTCGTTCCAGTCATTGGCAGCAGAGAACTGGAAGGAATGGCGGCCAAAGGAGGTGTTGGCTTTGGGGATGACCAGTAAGATATACCTGCTGGAGTGCATACTACGGGTGGGTGTTGCTATGGTGACCAATGATCTAAGATAAGGCAGGGATTTGCCTAGAAGTGATTTATAGATGACCTGGAGCCAGTGGGTTTGGCGACGAATATGTAGTGAGGGCCAGCCAACGAGAGCGTACAGGTCACAATGGTGGGTAGTATATGGGGCTTTGGGGACAAAATGGATGGCACTGTGATAGACTACATCCAATTTGCTGAGTAGAGTGTTGGAGGCTATTTTGTAAATGACATCGCCGAAGTCAAGGATCGGTAGGATAGTCAGTTTTACGAGGGCATGTTTGGCAGCATGAGTGAAGGAGGCTTTGTTGCGAAATAGGAAGCCGATTCTAGATTTAACTTTGGATTGGAGATGCTTAATATGAGTCTGGAAGGAGAGTTTACAGTCTAACCAGACACTTATGGTATTTGTAGTTGTCCACATATTCTAAGTCAGACCCGCCGAGAGTAGTGATTCTAGTCAGGCGGGAGGGTGCAAGCAGCGTTCGATTGAAGAGCATGCATTTAGTTTTACTAGCGTTTAAGAGCAGTTGGAGGCTACGGAAGGAGTGTTGTATGGCACTGAAGCTCGTTTGGAGGTTTGTTAACACAGTGTCCACTGAAGGGCCAGATGTATACAAAATGGTGTCGTCTGCGTAGAGGTGGATCTGAGAGTCACCAGCAGCAGGAGCGACATCATTGATATACACAGAGAATAGAGTCGGCCCGAGAATTGAACCCTGTGGCACCCCCATAGAGCCTGCCAGAGGTTCAGAAAACAGGCCCTCCGATTTGACACATTGAACTCTATCTGAGAAGTAGTTGGTGAACCAGGCGAGGCAGTCATTTGAGAAACCAAGGCTATTTAGTCTGCCAATAAGAATGCGGTGATTGACAGAGTCGAAAGCCTTGGCCAGGTCGATGAAGACCGCTGCACAGTACTGTCTTTTATCGATCACGATTATAATATCGTTTAGGACCTTGAGCATGGCTGAGGTGCACCCATGACCAGCTCGGAAACCAGATTGCATAGCGGAGAAGGTATGGTGGGATTCGAAATGGTCGGTGATCTGTTTGTTAACTTGGCTTTCAAAAACTTTCGAAAGGCAGGGCAGGATGGATATAGGTCTGTAACAGTTTGGATCTAGAGTGTCACACCCTTTGAAGAGGGGGATGACCGCGGCAGCTTTCCAATCTCTGGGGATCTCAGACGATACGAAAGAGAGGTTGAACAGGCAAGTAATAGGGGTTGCGACAATTTCGGTGGCAAATTTTAGAAAGAAAGGGTCCAGATTGTCTAGCCCAGCTGATTTGTAGGGGTCCAGATTTTGCAGCTC